GTTAAATAGATTGAGCCCATATTAGCCCACATATGATGAACTATGTGATAGTAAGCCCCATGAATCAAGGAGATAACAGAGGAGTAAGCAATTGTAGGCCCTTGACCACGCAAGGCCGGGTAATGCTCGCGTGCTTGTTGTAGCCAATCACATAATTAAAGTGCTTATTTTATTATTCAGCTAATCAGTTGTTTGCTGAAAGTCTCGTCGAAAACTTGAGCTAATCCCAGGCAATTCGGGAGTGCGACAACAAGAACAACAACTGCAATTGGAGCTGTCTGGAGCTCATCAGGTTCGCCTCCAGATTTCCATTCTCAGTGCACATTCCGAGCGAACGCGCAAGTTAAGTGCCGCATATTGGGACCACATGCCGCGGGCTTTTCGGCCAACTGCGTTTGGGCCAGCAAAAACTAATAAAGCAACTCAATTAAGCAGCTGCTGCTGCTGACGCCGGCCAAATATATCTTTATATATATGTATATATTCCCAATCAGAAACGTTTGAAGGGGTTTTTTTTTTCTGCTTATTTTTTCCTTTTTTGTATGGCTGCCCGCGGCTGGGCGGAGCCAGAACCACATGGGTAGCCGAAATTATTGTGGCTATAAATGCAAATGTATATAAAACTAATTTAATTAAAAGGCAGTCGGCAGCCAGCAACAAAAACAACAACAACAACAACAACAACATCTCATAGAGAATGGCTCGTTGGCATCGACGCACAACGCCCAAAGCCCGTCTCCAGCCAGATCAACAATCAGGTCGCCAAAAATCTCTTGCAAATTCACAAGCCAAGTTTTTCCTGAAATGTCAAGCGTTGTTTTGAATACTCTTTGATTACTTATGAATGACATTCAGTGCATTTAAAATGATCGCTAGGCTCTGTAAAATGACTGTAATAGCATGTGTGTTAAGTTAAATAGCTGTCAAAAGTCTGTTAAAAGTTAAAAGATGCCAACTAGAGCACTTAACGGAGCTATTAAGGAGGCCGTTAAGTTTTAGCAGCATTTTGATACAGCTGCTGTTACGTGATTTCAAAACATTTGCTTTATTTATAATTGCAGAGCCAAAATACAATATAACTGCAAAATAATACAATTAATTCGCCTTTAATGTCTTAACAGTCGCTGTTATGTTTATAGAAAACTGCTTGCGACTGCTTTTATATAGCAAATGCAAACAGAGCGTTAATAGAACGTGACTAGTTATAACAGTATTATATTAAATTTAACAGATTACTTTATAAAATATCTAATGATGCTAGCAGAGACTAGCAGAGGCTAACAGAGCAACGCTTTAGCAGAGCAGCGCTTGAGCAGAACAGCGCCTTAGCAGAGCAGCGCTTTAGCAGAGCAGCGCGGTAGCAGTGCCGATCGTAAACAGAGCAGAGCGAAGTAGCAGCTGTTAACATATCAGCAGCTTTCATCTACATAATTTCTTTCTAATTGGGCTTCTGCAAAATAAAATATATTTTTAATGAGAAGCTTAGTAATAATATTAAAGTTTTGAAAAGTTTGCTGCTGCCAGCTAACATCAAAGGGCATATCAACATCATTATTTTCACAAAATTCCCATATTTTTTTAAGCTGCATGGAAAGTGTGTGTAACATATGTACGTTGTGCCGCAAAAAGTTTTGCGTGCAACGCGGCCCAAGGGGTAGGTAGGCGGGGCGCGCTGCCTGCACAATTATTTATGCGTCGTATGATTTGTCGCCGAATCGTGTCGCCTTTTACATAAGCCGTCAACAGTTGCGCCACAATTTACAATTTGATTGCTGCAAATCTTGAGCTCGGCTCGAGTCTGTGGGCCCGATAAGTCGCCCGATAAGCTCTGACATTTCCTGGGCAACCGGCAGCGGGCAGCGGCTGCGCCTTTGGCCGCGTTGCGTATACGCAGCATTGCCCAAGCCACGAAAATTGATTAAATTTCTAGCTGCCCGCGACACAAGCCAAACAAAAACCAAACGCAAAAACTTATAAAATATGTATGTATGTATAAGAAAAACAAAACTCGGGCGCATTTTGAGCGCTGCAGCTAATTGCCGCATTTATGCGCAATTTTCTGCGTATTTTCTGTGCATTTTCTGTGCATTTGCAGCGAGTCGCTGGCAAACGCCTGGCATCAGCCTCTAACTCTAAGCCTCCAACCTGGCTAAGACCAAGTCGATTTGGGTAAAAAGAAACAGCTGGGATTCATTCTGCAATGAAAACTTTTTCTGTTAATCAAGACTGAAGAAACGTACCGATTAATAGCTTGTAGATTCTTCTTACTTACTTAGGCTGAAAGCTGGCTTTACTGACAATACAATAAATTATAGAATGCCAAAAAGAACGTCCAAGCTGAAATACCCTTGTAAACATTATATCAGCTAAATAATATAGTGTATAAGTAGTTCGATTTTACAGGGCTTTGCATATTGTTCATGTTGAAAGCAGGTCAGCAAATGCCAGAAAAAAAATAGCCGCTGGTTCGGCTAACGATTCGCAGCAACTTTCTGCCATGAGGCTCGGCTTGTGAACCTTGTTTTCAACATTATTCAAGTGCGAGCCTGCATCTGCCTGAAAAGTTCTAGATTTTGAATCGAAACAATTTTGAAATGAATTTGCCTCGATTCGGCCTTTTGCTTGCAAGACTTTTCGAATTATTTTAAAGGGCGCACAATCTACGCAAATTGATTGGAAAATGTTCTCACGGGCGATTATAATTAAAACAGCGATTGTTATTTTTGTGGCGCCCACCTCAAAATCGTTTGTCTGCAAATGGCATCCAAAGTTGACAGGCAACACAGAAACAGAACAAAAAAAAACAGAAAAAACACAAATTAAGCAGCTGACAGGCGGGTGTAACTGACTGCGAAATACGCTGTTTACCGAGCACATGTGTCGTTAGGAAACTTTCTGATTGCACTACTCCAAGACTCTGGCTGGCCCAGGCTGTGGGCGTGGCTGCCATTTTAATAAATAGTCAACCTGCCGAAATTGGCGACTTAACCTTTAAAACTTTTATTGTTTTTCAACTTTTATTTCCAAATGAAGAAACTAAAAGTATTTTTTCGACACATCCCTTAATCGGGGACTTCCCTTAGCTGAACAAAATGACAGTTACCGTTAGAGTTCGCTTTATGGAGCTTTCACTGTACTTGCGCTGCCTATCTCAGCGCGTTCAGACTCCGAAATTGTGATCAGCTTATACAGAAGCCGATCTATAGCTGATTATTTGAACAGTGTGACCAGGCTGTGCTGTCTCGCAAATATTATCCCGCTTGTCATTTTTTTTTTTTAATGTCTTTTAAGCATTTCATTTATTTATGAGCATATTTGTTAAGCTAGGCAATTTATTAAGAAAATTGCCAGCGAAAGCTATTCTCAAAATGTTGAGCAAATATTTGTTCGCCTCTTCGAAGAAGAATGTAAAAAAAACAAGCGCATTCCTGTTATTCCTGGCTGTCAAAAGAAAATTGGAAAAAAAAGTATCTAGCAGATGCCTCTATATACATATATTATATGGACGTCATATACCTGGTGCACAATACAATGTTGATAATAAATACACAAATCTAATAACAAATTAATTCGCACACAATAAAACACAACAAAAGTGGGCGGCATTGATGGTAGGCTCAGATACGAAATGGGCGTGGCTGTCGAACAAACACGCGTGTATCGCAGCTGTCGCAACGACGCGAACAACAGCAAAAAGAGAAAAAAGCAAAAACCATCTAGGGCAGGCCGAAGAGGAAATACCCTTTCCGATGTGATCAACAGGTTTCAGTAGAAGGGAGATCTAATGAAAAACAAACAAGTAAAAGTGCTCTAGCTGGGTATGCCAGACTAGGGATACCCTGCACCAAGCGACAAGCTATCTGCGCACTTTCTGCAACAATGATGCTTCTTCTTATCATTTGCCTCTCACTATTTAAGGGATCCTTATGATATTTTCAGGGCTTGAATATGGCATTGAAAAACGTGTAAATGCCACAGCGCAAGACTCTGCCTTCAAAAGGTATTTGTCTCTTTCAATTTGCATTCTGATCTTATTCTGAAGGCATTATTCATCTGTGTAAGCTATATGCTTTGTACATATTATGGAATCGCAGCTGCCTCTCTGAAAGCGTTGCACATTTCGGGACAAAATCAATATGCCCTACGCAAGTGTATGACACAAAGTCGCAGCACAGACAAAATCTGCCTCGAACAAAAATGTCAGTGTTGCCTTCGTGAGGCGTGCGCTCTTGTTGCTGTTGTTGTTGTTGCTGCTGTTACTGTTGGGAGGTGTGGGCACTTTTGCTTATTGACTCGAAAATGAAGGCTGAATTTTAACGTGCTGGGCTTTGTGTCTATACGCACTATATACATATATATAAATGCACAGTCAATGGTGCGCCCTCGTTAATGGGCCGCAACAGCACACAACAGCATCGCCTTAATTTGTGGCAGTGGACCATGCCACGCCCACCAGCAAAAATTCAAACACACAAATTCAATTGCTCAATTTGTAATTATGCTGTTGGGCGCCACCTGGCGGTCAAGCGACAAGTGCGTTCTTATCAAGTGGAAAATTTGCAAGAGCGAAAAGTTAATGGGAAAATTAAATTGTATAAAATCCTGAGTGCGAAAACTTTTTGGCTTACCAACGCCATTGAATAAAGTTTTAAGTAAATTGAATTCGCATATCGACGTTAAATAAGGTTGCAATATTAGAAAGTGAACTATATGGGGCCTACCGATCCGTATATGGTATACGACTTATCATATAGCGCTCACGTTACGATAAAGGTATATTTTTTTTGGAACTTGGACTTTATTTAAGCGAGCTATTTCAATTGTCAAGAATTCATGATAATTGAATCTATCGCGTATATTAAGTCAGAACACATACTCTCACAATTAAATATATATTTTATTTAAATGAATTTAAAGGTTTAATATTTATGCAAAATAACATAACGAAAATAATAATAAATAGTAAATAGTAGCTAAAGTAATATTTGAAGAACTTAGTAAAAATTACAGATAAAAGAATCATAGAGAACGAATCAGAGTTGAGTTATAAACAAACTAAAATCTCTATATAGAGTTCGTATGAACTCAAAAACTCTAAACCTAAACTAAAGCTGATCTATCGTACGACATCTGTTCGATCATTAGACTCGAGTGAAATCCTTGGTCTCGACTGTCGCGTCACACGACAAATCGGACACGATGCGCCGATATGCGAACTCTGGCACCAGAATGCCGACAATCCTTTTGCTGGACTCCGTTTTGACGCGCACCATCTGCATCTGCCGTCCGTTCTTCTCGATGATATTCGCGACACGTTCCCACACGGATATCAGCAGACCCGACAGCACGTGATAGGATCGCACGCGCAGACCCAGACCGCACCGCTTGCCGTAGGAGCACTTGCAGCTCCAGTAAATGTGGGAGCAGATGTGCAGGCACTTGCTGAACTGCATATCCCAGAATGGCTGGGCCGCCTTCGGGGAGGCCTTCACATAGCGACCCAGCAGGGAGCTGAGCGGCTCGGTGCGCACTTGAGCCCCCGTATTAGGCCGTATGATCACCAGATTGATTTTGGTCGGTACGCTTGGCTCTCCAGTGGACTCTTCATCGGTTTCGGGATTCAAGCACAAAATGGCGCAGTTGTTATTGTTGCGCTTCTGACGAAGTATATAGAAGCCCTCATGGGCTTGACGCTCCTTCTTCTTGAACCTAGAGCGACAAGAGTGTACGTGGATTAGTTACAAGTGATTGATTGATTGATTGATTGATTGATTGATTGATTTGACTTACTCCGTCAGAGCCGCATCAAAGGAAAGGCCACGCTCCACCTCAACCGTGTGCAGTTCCGTGCTCGCAGTGCCCATGACATATATGCGCCTAAAGGTGATGAGCTTGGTCACCGTGACAACGGATCCATGGACGTCCAGGTCCGTGATGCCCATGTTGAAGTGACGCGTGCGCTTCACCTGCAGCATCATTGCGTACATCTTGTTGAGGAAGAACTTGAACAGAGCCGTCTGCACCTCGAGGCGGCAGCCCAGCAATCGATTCAGAAATGTGGGTATGTGATTGCTGCCATTGTTCACGACATAGCTTCTCTGGCCAATGCTGTTGAGGCCCACATGGAGCATGCCAACGCCGGCCAGAGCCTCGCAGCAGTCGAGGCTGAAGTCGCCCTTGTAGAAATCGGGCACGAGAGCTGCTTCCAGCGGCTTCTTGCCCGTTATCTGTTGCAGCACGCTGTCCAGAGCGCTGCTGCCGATGCTGTTGTTGAGGTTGAACAGCGATTGATGCCGCCCGAATGGATCCCCCTCCGGTGGATTGCTGTCTATCGCGCCCAAGTTTTTCAGTTCCATGGCCACCATGTTCGCCTGATGCAGCTCCGCGGCCACATCCGAAATGAGGATTACGTATTCCGGTTCGTTTTTCTGGTTAGTGCGTTTCGTGCATCCGAACTGTTGTATGGCACGTTCAGCGCTCCACGGCAGCTCCAGACTGATGTACAGTCGTTGCCTTTGATTGGCCACAGTCTGATCGCTATGCAGGGATATGCCAGACGAGGCTGCCTCCGATATGATGGCCACCTTCTTTCTATCATCCATAAAGGCCTGCCTTTCGGCATAGTTGAGCATATCCATATTTGTTTCCGTATCACCGCGCAGCTCGTACTTGTAGGAGAGATCGCCCGTTTTGACCACCCGACCGCGACGTTTGGTCAGCTCGGCCACCTCGCTGGGTCCGCCCAGATCCGCAATGATCTTATCCACAGTATTTGGCGGCATTCGACGACTCAGCTGCTGTATCTTTAAGAGAAATTTATCCCGTGCACTGATGCAGCGCTTCACCTCGCTCTCTGTGATTTGGTCTGCTTGGGGATCGAGGCCATCAAAGTTATACTCGAAGCCCTCTTCTTCCGGCTCCGCTTTCATGTTGTTGCATAAATGCTTCAGGATGCGCTGATGCATTGTTTTCTCCGCTGGAAGAGATCAAGTTTAATCAGTTCAAATGCTGAATTTGTACAGTTCGTTTTGTTTGCTTCTATAACATTTCACCCACAAGGGCGTGGGTTGAGCCATTAGAGGCGGCTCCTTATACCCTGAAACCATTAAAAACAGACAGAAGAAAGCATCCCCATCCCCGACCCCATAAAGTATATATATTTATTCTAGATCAGCATCATTAACAAAGTCGGTCTAGCCATTTCCGTCTGTCTGTCCGTCCGTCCGTCCGTCCGTATGAGTGAACGCAAGGATCTCAGAATGGAATGCAGGTCCTCCTAGTGCCCGCGCAGTACGAGTTCGTTTCCGATAATCGATAAATTGCCTCGTTTCCAAGTAATCGATATCCAAATCCTGTTTTTTGGAGTCACCAAACTTGATATGTACCCTCTAAAATAGAATTTATATATACATTTTTTTCATTTTATAGCTTTTCGAACCAACCCCAATTTTCACAAAAAACATAATGAATTTGAATTTTTAATCCAGATATTCAATAAAAATCATCAAAAAAGTTTCGGTTTTCGAACCGACCTCGAATTTAGAAAAAACGTGATGTAACCCTTTGCCATTTTGTTGATTTGGGTCAAAATTTAGATTTTCATTTCATTTGCCAATCGATAATACTGATCTTGACGAGTCCAAAATTGTATAACATTCCCAAATCGGACATTATTTGGCCGAGATATTCCAAAAAATCATCAAAAAAGATTGACTTTACAACCGAATCGGTTTTTGGTCAACCACTTTTTTTAACCCATCGATTTTAAAAATGTTTGAATGCCAATTGATAGTAGGGATCCCTACAAATTCAAAAAGATCCTTACGAGTCCAAAATGGTATAAAATTCCCAAATCGGACATTATTTGGCCGAGATATTCAAAAAAATCATAAAAAAAGGTTGACTTTACAACCGAATCGGTTTTTGGTCAACCACTTTCTTTAACCCATCGATTTTTTAAATGTTTAAATGCCAATTGATAGTATGGATCCCTACGAATTCAAAAAGGTATAACATTTCAAAATCTGACAGTATTTACCCGAGATATTCAATAACAATCATCAAAAAAGATATTCCGAAAAATCATCAAAAAAGGTTGACTTTACAAACGAATCGGTTTTTGGTCAACCACTTTTTTTAACCCATCGATTTTTAAAATGTTTGAATGCCAATTGATAGTATGGATCCCCACGAATTCAAAAAGGTATAACATTTCAAAATCTGACATTTACCCGAGAAATTAAAAAAAAATCAACAAAAATGTTCTGATTTTCGAACCGACCCCGAATTTGAGAAAAAACGTGATTTAACCCCTTGCCATTTTGTTGATTTGGGTCAAAATTTAGATTTTAATTTTTTTGATGCCAATCGATAGTACTGATTCTTACGAGTCCAAAATTCCCAAATCGGACATTATTTGGCCGAGATATTCCAAAAAATCATCAAAAAAGTGGTTGACCAAAAACCGTTTCGGTTGCAAAGTTGACCAAAAACCGTTTCGGTTGCAAAGTCAACCACTTTTTTGATGATTTTTTGGAATATCTCGGCCAAATAATGTAATCAGTTAACCCATAAAAATCAGATAGTATTTACCCGAGATATTAAAAAAAAATCAACAAAAATTTTCTGATTTTCGAACCGACCCCGAATTTGAGAAAAAACGTGATGTAACCCCTTGCCATTTTGTTGATTTGGGTCAAAATTTAGATTTTCATTTTTTTGATGCTAATCGATAGTACTGATCCTTACGAGTCCAAAATGGTATAAAATTCCCAAATCGGACATTATTTGGCCGAGATATTCCAAAAAATCATCAAAAAAGGTTGACTTTACAACCGAATCGGTTTTTGGTCAACCACTTTTTTTAACCAATCGATTTTTAAAATGTTTGAATGCCAATTGATAGTAGGGATCCCTACGAATTCAAAAAGGTATAACATTTCAAAATCTGACAGTATTTACCCGAGATATTCAATAACAATCATCAAAAAAGATATTCCGAAAAATCATCAAAAAAGGTTGACTTTGCAACCGAATCGGTTTTTGGTCAACCACTTTTTTTAACCCATCGATTTTTAAAATGTTTGAATGCCAATTGAAAGTATGGATCCCCACGAATTTAAAAAGGTGTAACATTTCAAAATCTGACAACATTTACCCGAGATATGAAAAAAAAAACAACAAAAATGTTCTGATTTTCGAACCGACCCCGAATTTGAGAAAAAACGTGATGTAACCCCTTGCCATTTTGTTGATTTGGGTCAAAATTTAGATTTTCATTTCTTTGATGCCAATCGATAGTAGTGATCCTTACGAGTGCAAAATGGTATAAAATTCCCAAATCGGACATTATTTGGCCGAGATATTCCAAAAAATCATCAAAAAAGGTCGACTTTACAACCGAATCGGTTTTTGGTCAACCACTTATTTTAACCCATCGATTTTTAAAATGTTTGAATGCCAATTGATAGTAGGGATCCCCACAAATTCAAAAAGGTATAACATTTCAAAAGCTGACAAAATTTACCCGAGATATTCAAAAAAAATCATCAAAAATGTTCTGATTTTCGAACAGACCCCGAATGTGAGAAAAAACGTGATTTAACCCCTTGCCATTTTGTTGATTTGGGTCAAAATTTAGATTTTCATTTCTTTGATGCCAATCGATGGTACTGATCCTTACGAGTCCAAAATGGTATAAAATTCCTAAATCGGACATTATTTGGCCGAGATATTCCAAAAAATCATCAAAAAAGGTTGACTTTACAACCGAATCGGTTTTTGGTCAACCACTTATTTTAACCCATCGATTTTTAAAATGTTTGAATGCCAATTGATAGTAGAGATCCGTACAAATTCAAAAAGGTATAATATTTCAAAATCAGACCAAATTTACTCGAGATATGCAATAAAAATCATCAAAAAAGTTTCGATTTTCGAACCGACCCCGAATTTGAGAAAATCCAAATTCACCAAACTTGAAATGCAGCTTCTAGAATAGTATTTATATATATATACATATATGTATTGCCACCTCCACCGCTTCAGTAGTCAGCAGTTGTTGGTTTGGCTGTTGGGTCAAGGAGGCGGCAAGTAGCGTGGTCTGTTGCGAGTTCAAGTCCTATTTTTTTTACATTTAGTTTTTAATTTAGTTTTAATACTGCTAGAGCAAACGAGTGCGTAGCGCGAGCTGCATTTGATGATGGTCGAAGAGGGTTCAGGATATCCCCTAGTCGGGAACTCCCGACTAGAACTTCTGACTTGTTTTTTCGGATTTTGGGAAATTTACTCGTCCGGGTGGAAAATAAGCGAAACTCACATTTTCTTGCGATCGGACGAAGAGGACAGAGTAGTGGAAACCTGCTGTTCAATAAATTTGTTGATGTGTTTTTTTAAATTTCCATATTAAGTTTTATAATTGAGTGAAAATTAATATGAGCAAAAGCAGTGGGCCCCGGCAAAGCCGGGAAATATCAGCTAGTTTTAATATAAAGTATTTCGTATATCACTTACCCTTGGAGGTTATCGAGCGGCGGAGCTTGTTTTCAGCATCATTGCCATCGTCTTCATCCTCCTCCGAGGAACTGGTTTCAGTATCATCAGAAGTCGTGCTGGACCAGTCGGTAGTCATGCGTGGACGCTTCGGGCCGCCCGTGGCATTTGTGCGCTTCTCCGGGTCAAAGGCGCCACTCCTCAGCAGCCTCTCGAAACATTCGATGCTGGGTGCTGGAAAATAGTTTTCAATAAACGATTGTATGATCGCCTTGGCGGTAGACACAAAGCCCGTCAACTCAGTTCGGTCGAATTCCAGATAGTGCAGGGCGCGGCACTCGCTAGTCGACTGCACCCCAATGACCACTGCCCGCTCCCTAAGCCTAGCGTCGTTGGCCATTTTCACCACATGCTTCAGCTTGGCGGCAATACACAGGTTCTTGAAGTAGCGCTGATGCGCGGACCAGAACTGCCGATTGATCCGATCCTGGATACGCGGCTCAATGCGAATGCGCCGAAAAGCCTTGAATAGCTGCTCATTAATCTTGGCCCAAAGCTCCGCTGAATAGTTGTAGAATTTGCGAAACTCTCGCGACATGGGCACCTGCTCAATGCGATAGTTGACATTATGCAAGCTCAGCTGGCGCGATACATAGATGCCGCGCAACTTCATGTCAACGGCGACGATCTCCATGGCGCCACTGCCCCGCTTTTCCACAGCATTGACGAACTCAAGGAATTCCGCATATGGGGAGCCCATGCCCCACAGGCCTAGCCGCGTCATGTAGACCATATTGCGCGGCTCGGCGGCGCCCGTGGCCGAGGCATAGACAATCCGTGCCATGGGCAACATCTGTTGCAGCTTCAGCACCGAACTGCACATCTTGATGAACCTTTCGGTGTTGCTCAGACTCATCCTATTCGCCTTGTGGCATTCATCCAATACAACAATGCCATTCTTGCCTAGCCACTGAGCCAGCTGGCTAACGTGGGTCTCGTATTTGGCTGTTGGATTTGATGTTTCCCGCGTCAGCTCTGTGTAGGTGGAGCAGATGATGCCCTTCGTAAAGGACTCATCATCCGTCTCATCCGCGATTATCTGGTTGTATTTGAATTTTCCAATGGGCTCCACTTTGATCTGTCCGCCAACGCCAATATAGTTCAGTTCACGCTCCACCTCGAATCGGAGATGCTCCGACACGGATATCCAGAGGGCACGATTGCGTCCCTGCTGAAAATTCTCATAGATGATGGCTGCCAGGGTGCGTCCTTTGCCCACGCCCGCACCATCACCCAACAGGAAGCCAGCACGCTGGCCGCTTGGGAGTATCTGCTCATGGGCCTGGCAAGCATAGATTATGGCCTCCAGCTGCAAGTCACTGAGTCGATGTGGATCCGTTGCCTTTGGTGAAAGCGACAGCGACGGCTTGTATGTCATTTTCGGCAAATCCAATGAGAGTAACGTCGACCTTTCGACCACCTCGTCGGGATGCTCCAAGGTGTTGGACTCGAGCTCATGCAAATTGCTGGGCCAGTATATTTCATAGCTATCTGGCACGCCGATTTCCTCCAAATCCATCTCGTCCTCATCCACTAGATGCGGCTGCATATGTGCCGCTTCGCGGCGTGTCGGCAGCTTCAGGGTTCTACCATGCAACAGTCCCTTGCGCACAATGCGTGCTCTGAAGATAGCATTCATGTCCTTCACCTTGTATGGCTCCCAGTCATCTAAAGTTTCCGAGTTTGTGCTCTACATTGGGTTTACAAAGATTTATCAATATCGATTTAATAGTTTATATATTATCGATTGTTTCCGATTTAACATTTTATTAAAAATAGGTAAGAAGAAAGATATATTAAGATCCACCCAATATGCTGATCTAGTTAACATCAGATTCCTGATAATTGCTTTCTTCCACAGCTTTAATTGGGGGCGTTTTAAGCCACAGGGTATCTGCTCGTCAAGTATTCATGACTGCTATGGTGGATAAGCAAACACTTTGACCTGAAACAGCCGCTCACCTTGGACAATTTCCTCCTCTCTGCCGCCAGCTTGGCAAGGTCGTCCTTAAAAGCTTGTAGAACTCTGTTTGCTTCCACGCTTTTGCTCTCCAACTGTAAGAAGATAATTATAATCAACTTTGTGTTTATGCTGGTGTTTTTAGCGTATGCTAGTTCCCTTACCGCAAGCGAGGTCCTCCTCGAAGAAAGAGTCCGAGCTAGACTTCCCTCATTGGCATTACCTTGTCTGGATTCGGCTTCCTTAGAAACGACAATCATCTATTGATTAGGCATTTAAATTTGTAATTCTTTTTATCGAAAGCCGCTTGGCCTGGAACGTCTGCGATTTTTTACATACCTTTTGATTATATTCATCTTCTTTGGCAACTTGTGCATTTCTGTGTGCCTGCGTTTTTTTACTCTCAAACTGTTCAATGAAATGAAATTGTTATATTTTTCATATTTTTTTTTCGAACGTGACTTTCTTACCGGTAGTGAAAATCTTCTGGCAGGAATCTTGCTAACTTGATTTGCCTCCTTCGCATACAAACGCCTAGCGGTCGAGACCTCCGAAAGTGATCCGACTTCTTTGGGCTCGACGGGAACCTATTAAAAGATAAAATATTTTCGACATTTTGATAAAAGTAGTTTTAAATATGCGAAAGCATCAATAATAAGTCATAAACAAAAAAAAAACAGGGCTCACGAAATATTTTTCGTTGTAAAACAAACTTTCTTATGGCAGTTACCTTTTCAGCTATTAGGATAACGTCTTTTTGGGTCTCTTTAGGAATTGCTTGTGGAGGCCTGCTTGCATCCACATTTTCCATCTGGTGAATAAACATAAACGGTGGCAATTAATAGTATTTCCACTATCTAACTGGTATCGAAAATCTTTGAAATGCAATTCTACTAACTGGTCTTTCATCCTTCGCCTTGTTAACTGGGCTACGTCCGGCTTTTGGGTTTGCTTTTATTTCTTTCGGCTTGATGATTATCTATTTAATTTAAGAATTAAAAAATAAGTGATAATACTTTCTTGTTTTTCAAATCGATTCACTATTATATTATGCGAGATAAACAAAATATATAATACCGTATAGCTAGACAAAAGCCCAAAACTTGCTGGAACATTGCCCTAAGCCGGTTCAACATTACCTTACATACCTTGGGCGATGTTAATTTCATATCTTCGATATCGGGCGTCTTGATTTCAAACTGTTCCCTAGCAGCTTCCAGTAGCATTGCTTTCAGTTTCCTCCTCCTCAGGTTGCGCTTTAACTGTTGAATAAACATTAATACTGATATTTTATCTTATTTTAACTTCCTTACCAATCGTAAAGAAATTCTTTTAACTAGATGTCCCTCCTTGTCCTTGATGAGTATCATACGTTCTGACTTTCTTCTTCGTCGTACTTTTTTGGACTTTGTGGGAAGAAGTTAAAAAAATAAAAGAAATGTTAAGGAACATCCGAAGATCATATACTGAACATAGTTTTTATCTTTGAAAAATAAATAAATTGATGTCTTTCTATCTAATCTTGACTTTCTTACCGCTCGTGAAGATGCTCCTACTGGATTTTTCTTAGAAGTGATTCCCTTCTTGGCGTTGTTTCCTGGTTTATGACTTTTCTTAGATGCAATTCCCGTTTTTATATCTGCCCTAAGGCCAGCCGTTAGCTCTGATCCTATACCTTTATCCTCAACTATGACCTTTTGAAACGTATGATAAAAATTAGTTTCTGTAATTCCTTTTGATATGCGGAAGATTCTTACCACTTGCGAATACGAGTCCCCTGGAATTTTGTTAGATGCAATTCCCTCCTTTGCATTCTTTTCTGGCTTATGACTTTTCTTAGGTGCGCTTTCAGTTTTGGCGTTGATGTCGGGCATAAGGCTAGCCTTTGGCTTTGATCCTATTCCTTTAGGGTCGACTATGGCCTGTTGAAACATATTAAAAAACATATGTTAGCAGATAAGCAAAACCCTTGTGAACAAATTCTGATTTACTCGCATCATATAGCTATAGACATGTTGCTAAGGTTTACAGATTGCTTTTAATTATATGAAACTTGCCTGTTGATTTATTGGATCATTGTTTTGGGTATTGGTTACATTGGATGCAAGCTCTTCCAGAGTTTTGTTTGCCTCTGTTTCATTGCTCTCAGGCTGTTGAATAAGAATAAAAATATGTTTGTTCTTTAGCTCATTCTTACCGCTTGTGAAGTTGTGGGCGAGGGAACTGGACGAACTGATGCAAGCTACATATACTTACGCTTTGCGATGTTGACGGTCTGGGCATCTTGCTTGCAACCTCTTGCTCAGTAGTTGAAAAAGGTTTGCTAACTGACACATGACCTGGCGCTCGCTTTGGTCGAAGGTCCTTGATCCCAAGCATGGGCTAATGGAATAAAAATGTAATATATAAAACTAAGATAAAAGCAGAGAACTTTATCTAGTTTCTTTTCACCTTTTGCGCAACTGGAAGAATGCGTCTTGGGATTGTGGGCATATCAAATGCAGCTTTGTGGGCCTCATCCGATTTCGGGCTAGTTTCCATTTTGAACTGACCATCTGAGGATCGCTTTTGCGCAGTTGCCGTTCTTTCGAAAAATCCTATTCCCACATTATTTTCTAGCTTCTTTATAAGTGGTATGGTGGGTGGCGTCTGATTTTCCGGATGCTTTTGTTTCGAATTAATTAGTCTACAAACTGTAGAATTTTACTTGACTCTATACTTACATTTGTCGGGTTCGGAGCGACCAGCTTTGGGGTGCTGGGTATATTGGTTGCAATTTTATGTGTTTCAGTTGGTTTCAAATGTGATTCAGATTTTAATTGTGCATCGAGCAACGGTTTCTTGACCATACCCTCTGTTTTCTGTTCTACTTTTGGTGTTTGATCCACATTTTCCTGATTCATTTCTATTCTTCTTGCAAGTTCTTCTAGATTAGTCACTTGATTAACATTTGGTTGTTGTGCTTCTTTTAGTTCTAACTTTTTCACAATTTCTCCTTTGTCCGTGCTTATCTTTTTAACTTCAGGTTCCTTCTTCGCAAAGGAAATTTCTTCCGTACTGCTTTTGCATCTTCCTTTCTTCGCTTCGGTTTTCTGTGAATTTGTTTTTTGATCCCCAAGTTTTCCATCCGATTCACTATTGCTTATATATATATCCATTTTCCCTACAATCTCTTCGAGATTGGGCTCTTTATCAACCCTTTGTTGTTGTAGTCCCATCTTTTTATCAGTTCCCCCCCTTTCAGCATCTTCACTAGCTTCATCAGAGATAAGATTAGTTTGCATGCCTTTCTTCTTAACTTTAGGTGTTTCCTCATCGGCGGAAACCTTTTCAGTATTGTTCTCACTTCTCTCTTCCTTATTATTTTCTATATTCTTTAGTTTTTCGATTTCCGGTTGCCTAACGGGCGGCTTTTGTTCTTTTTGTTTCTCCTTTGCATCCGATTTTATTTTCTTTTGCGGTGGATTTTCCAAAGTTTCAGTTTTTTGAAATTGTGGCTTGTGATCCTCAAGTTTCCTTTTTAATTCCTTATTTTCCAGAATAATGTCTTCTATCCGTGCAACCTCGAGATGCGCCTCTTTTTTCTGAGCTTCCGTGCTTATCTTCCTAGGTTTAGATTCTTTCTTCGTTGCCGAAATATCTTCCGTATTGTTTTCGCATGCTCCTTTCATATCCAAATTATCCAATTTCTCTTTCTGTTGTTTTATTTTCGGCCGTTGTTTTTCTTGTTGTTGTTCCTCTTTCGATTCAGATACTTTTTTCAGCGGCGGTGGATTTCTTAAAGTTTCGCTCTCTTGCCATATTCGTTTCTGATCCGCCAATTTTATATTTAAATCTATATTTTCCGTATTCAATTCTATTTTCTTTGCAATCGCTTCGAGGTTCGATGCCTGGTTGACATTTGGTTGTCGTGATTGTTTTTTCTCAGTTTCCATTTCTTCTGTTTCCGTGATTTTCTTCTTAGCTGCAGGTGCTTTCTTTTCGCCGGAAACCTTTTCAGTATTGTTTTCGCTTCCCTCTTCCCTACACTTTGTTTTCTTTTTTGGTTTTTTGATTATCGGTTGTTTTACAAGGGGCTTTAGTTTTTTCCGTTTCTCCTTCGCATCCGATTTTATTTTCTTTAGTGGTGGATTTTCCAAAATTTCCATTTTCTGCAAATTTGGTTTTTGATCATCAAGTTTCCTTTTCAGTTCCCTATTTTTCGGACTCATCTCTTTTTTCCTTGCAATCTCATCGAGGTTCAACGCATCATTAGCGCTTGGTTTTTGTGGATGTTTTTGTCCCAGCTCCATCTCAGATACTCTTTTCTCTGCGCTTTTATTAGCCTCATCAGGAATAGGATTCATGTCCGTTCCTATCTTCTTTTCAGTATTCTTTTCGAGACTCTCTTCCATTTTATTTTCTTTATTCTTTATTTTCTGTTGTTGTTTCCGTTCCACTTTTGCATCAGGCTTTACAATCACCTGCGGGGAATTTTTTAAAGTTTTCGGCTCTATCTTCTCCGCGTTTATTCTTGCAAGTTCTTCGAGGCTTGCCGCTTGTTCAACATTTGGTTGTTCTGCTTGTTTTTCTCCCAACCATTTTTCAATTTCCACTTTCTCTGCATTTCTATGTCTAACATCCGAGAAAAGTTTTGTTTCTAGTTCCTGCTTCGCAGTGGAAAAATCTTCCGTATTGTTTTCGCATCTGCCTTTCATATATTTTTCCATTTTCTTTTTAAATTGTTTGATGTTTAGTTGTTGTTGTTTCCGTTCTTCCTTTGCATCAAATTCTTTCTTCTTTTGCGGAGAATCTTTTGAAGGTTCGTTTTTCTTTAACTTTACTTTCTGATCCTCAAGTTTTCTACTCGATTCACTGGCTTCCAGATGCATTTCCATTTTTCTTACAATCTCTTCGATATTCGGCATATTTTTGGCGATCGGTTGTTGTGTTTGATTTTGTCCTACATTTTTCTCAGTTGCTCTTTTCTCCGCGTTTTTGGTATCCCCATCTGGGATAAGGTTCGCTTCAGTTACTTTCTGTTGAGCGGAAACTTTGCTTTTCTTTTTAAATGATTCTGTCTTTTGCAACATTGGCTTTTGATCGAGATCCGGCGCCTGCCCAATTGGTTGTTGTGATTGTATTTGATTTGAATCTATCTCATTAGGACTTCTCTCTACATTTTGACTACCTGCCAATAAAGGTAGCTCCATTTGTAATCTGGCGTCAGACACTTTATCGCATTCAGTTTTGTCGGCTTCCTCTGGCTTTGCTTGGCGGTCAGTTTTAAGTCTCGCATCTACAGGCACTGTCCTGTCAATTATCTCTTTTTTGGACAGAACCTGCATTTCTTTAGAAATATCTGTTTTCTTTTCAAGCCTTTTAATGATCTGTTGTTGTTTAACACTTGGTTGCTGTGGTTGTTCTCGTTGTTCCTTTGAATCCGATTCTTTTCTGTCTACCTTTTTTGGAGTTGGATAACTCTCAATTGGAGTTTTCTGCACAATTGTGGTTTGTTGCTCAAGTTTCCTTTTTAATTGCCTTTTATTGATTTCCTCCGGTTTTATTGTAGCTGACAGTTTTGCCTTTTTTTGATCCAATTTATTCTCAGTTGTCCTTTTTGCCGCATATTGTTTTGCTTCTGTTTCGAATCTTTCCTCTGAAAACCTTTTCTCCGCTTTAGCTGGCAGCTGGGTGGAAGCGCTTTTCTCATTATTTTCTTTGTCCAACTGCATTATGTTTGGGACTTGTTCAACTTTAGTTAGATGTAAGTTTTTCTCAGTTTCTCTCTTCTCTACATTTCCATCAGTCTCGTGTTGCTTTGCTTTTATTTCAGTTCCTTGGATTTCTCCCACGGAATCTGGTTTCGGCACCTTTTGCCCATCAAGTTTACTTGGCCCTTGCTCAATGGGAATCAACTCTATTTTCTTTTCTAACGGTTTTCCATTCTTTCGATTGTTGCCCTGTTTAAGAGTTTGTTTAACTTTTGTATTGGACTTGGATCTTTTAATTCCTGTCTCTAATGACAGAGGTTGGTCGTTTACCCGCGTATTCCCATCAAGTGTTTGGTCATTGCTTTTATTTTCCAGAGGGCTAGCACCTGGTTTTAACAAGGTTTGTCGATCAACTGGCTGTTGTGGATTATTAAAAACGTTATATTTATTGATCAGAAACTTTAAATTATCATCATCGAATTCTATCTTTTCCGCTTTCCGCTCGGGCAATTGGAATTCTACTTGTTTTTTCTGGGAATTGAATATTGAATATGCACTTTTATATAATAAAATTTCGTTTTTATCAGTGTGAAGCCCTGAAATATATATTTACCATTTGTGACTGCTCTATATTATTAATATCTGGCATATCATTTTGTTTGGCCACCAAAAATGTTTGCATTCCTCCATCTTCCTTCTTTGATTCCTGCATCTGACTTTCGTAAGGGAGTTTCAAGGCTTTTGCATCGACTTGCTGCTGAAAAAGCTGTTGATCGTTGTTTTTACTTGCCAAGGGCATCACAGTTTTATCGACATGTTGGTATTCTTGGTGTGTTCCTTGTTTTACCTGTAAATCATAATAATAATTATATTATTCTACGTTCGAGCAATGGAATACCCTTACTCCATGAGCAAATGGAATGTTTGGTACATTTCTCATGGTCTCATATGATGTTTGATTGTCTCTTATTTTTTCTTCCTTTCTTGTTACCTGCTGCTTCAGAAGAAGTTGTTGCGCAACCTGGGCTTCAAAATGTTGCTGATCGTTGTATTTATGGGCTAGAAACTGTAAACTATTGTCATCAGCTTCCACTTGTTCTATTATCTCCTTGAATGGTTCGGGCTTTTCGTATTTTCCCTGCAGATATCATAAATATGTACTTTTATAAATCATTTAATACTTTATTCTTACTTGCTGAGCAGCTGGATTTACAGGGTAGTTAGTGTTTGGTAAACTTTTTTGAGCCACGGGTTCGTTCTTCCTATCATTGTGTTTTGCTAAGATTTGCCGATCGAATGGCACTCGATGAAGTTTATGTTCATTGTTCTTTTGTTTTGCTTTCTGTTGAGTTAGTTTTTCATGTTTTACTTGGTAGAAATGATATTAAAAATTATTCGCTTACCGCTTTAGCAGTCGAAATAAGAGAGCTGTTCAGGTCTGTCGCATTCTTCTTGGTCATTTCTGCCGTTTGGTTGGAATCTTCTTCTTTTCTTGACTGCTCCACGCTTTCCTTGTCATTTTTCTTTACAGAAGCCCGACGATCAGCTGTCTGCGATTGAAGTTTTTGTTCACTATTTTTGCTTGCCAAAGGTTTTAAATAGTTAGCTTCGATTCCTTGGCTCTCTGCTTTCCCATAGGAAAATTTGCCTCTAACTTCACTTGCCTGTTATTACAAAACATTAATAAATAAGTTTTATTAAGATATAGATTTTTATATAAATATTTGTCCGGACTGATTTAACTAGATCGCGATAGAGTTTTTTTACTGTAGTTACCTTACGTGGTGCAAGTGCACGCTAAGACGGGGGTTATCAAAAATTCCACCCCCAACTGTGGAAAATTGGTTAAAAATGATTGTATGAAACTTGTTTGCTTACCATTCGATCGGATTGAAACTGATATTCAAAGATTTTTCTACTGATTTATTTGAGACTTGTTTCAATTTTTTTCTGAAAAACTTCACTCATTTTCAAAGATCTAACTAAAAATATATTGAAGATGTGTCCCAGAATTTTCGAAAAGCCAAGGGCTTGGTGGTAAAGTTAAAAAACGAAGCTTGTAGTATCAGGATTTTCTTTACTTGTGGGAAATGGACGGAAAGGTGATGCCTAAAACTTAAAGGAATAACTTTGCCGGGGCAAAGTCGCTAGAATCAATTAAATGAGTTATATAAACTTAAATGTACCTCTTTTTTAACTGGAATAACAGCGCTGTCAACTTCCGATAAACTTTTCTTAACGTCTTCTTTCTTTGTTTCAAGTTTCTTTATTACAACATTTTGTTTAGTTGAAAGCTGTCGATTCGCCTGCTCCGAAAGATTTTTTTGTTCAAGTGTTGTGCTTTGCACAGCATTTAAATCAAGTGCATCTTGTAGTTCTGTTTCACGGTGGGTTTGTTCGCATTCCTTTTGTATTACCTGGAATAAAATATATTAAGCGCGCGTGAATACAAAAAGCTTATAGGTACCTTTTCCACAGCTGGAATAAAATGGCTTTTAACGCCCGCTATATTTTTCTTGACCTCAGTCGAATTTCCTGACTTAATTGCGGCTCGTTTCTTTTTCTTGACATTTTGATTTGCCAAATGTTGTTGATTACCCTGAAGTTGTTTTGGGTCAATGTTGTTATTTGACAAGGACTTTACATTTTTATTGTTTTTTTCTTTTTTCTCATGGGAAGTTTTGCTTTGCTCTGGCGATACCTGGAAAACACAATAATAAATGATGTTTTAAACAATTAAATAATTCAGTGTTCGAGTTGCCGAATATCCGTACCTCATGAGCTATAGTAGCTTTAACAATTTGATCGGTTTTCTTGATCGCATTAGACATGTCTTTTTCGTTTCCTTTCGGCTTCGCTTCCTGCTTCTTCAGCACTTCAGCGTCCTTTGCGACGTTAGGGGACTGCAGCTCCTTACTTTCAATCTTACTTTCGTCTATTTTATTTACTAAATGTGTTATTATATCTACTTGGGTTACGTTTAGATTTGCCCTAGATTTAAGTTTATCATTAGATTTATCTCTTGTTGTTTCTTTGGCATTGTCAGCTTTATCTTGTAACTTCTCTTTTATTTCTTTGGCTTTTATGCTTGGGGTTTCTTTCGTATTTTCGTTTTCTAGTTCTGTTTTTGTTTTATTTTTAGATTTTTTCATAGCCTTTTTAACCTTTTTTGCCAGATCCTTGTCTGCATCTTTGTCATTTTCTTTCTCTCGCTCCTTTGCTTTCTTTTCTTTTTTCGCTTTTTTCTTAAGTTTCTCTTCCTCCGTTTTTTCTTTTTTCCGTTTGGCTCTTTTAGCTTTTTTAACCTCTTTTGCTTTTGTATGGTGCTCCTTTTTGGTGGTCTGCGGAGCTTCAATCGCAACTTTCTTCTTTTCAAAAGTCTTCTCATTCCCTTTTATTATCGGCATTTGAATTGGTTTTGGCTGCTGAGGTTGTGTTTGCTCTATGTTTTTATCATCCATCAATTTCAATTTCTTACTTCCAATATTGTTTTGGTCACGTTCCTGTTTAGACGATTAAAAGATTGAATTTTTATTAGTTATACAAAACTGTCTTTGATAGACTAATAAATGTATTCCTACCTTTTGATCATCCACTTTTAATTTTCTCTTAAGATCCGATTTAATAGTATCATCTTTTTTGGCTTCATCCTTTTCCATTTTAGATTGCAGGGATTTCTCATTTAAGGATATATCTTTCTGGTCTTCCTTTTCGGTTGTTATTTCTTGCTGGTTTTTATTATCAACTGATATTAATTTATCATCGATTTCTTTCTTCACTGTCTTCTCACAAACTGAAATATCTTTTATCTGTTTTGCTAGCAACTTTGGGTTACTGTCAGACTTAAAAGTGGAAAATAATTCCTTTTGATTTTGTGTATCTGAGATCAAGCTGCTAACAGAATTCGAGTTTGTGGTAGTATCTGATGTTGATTTTTCAATCGTTTTCACATTTGCCGACAAAGTTTGATCCTCTTTCTCGGTGTCTGTAATTTCCGGCTCTTCTGGTGATTGAAGCAATTTATCATCTCTTTCTTTCTGCTGCTCAATTTTCGGCTGAGTTCCATTTGCTAACCCTGGTTTTGGAAGTCCTTTCGGGGTTTCCACTTTATTTTGCTTTCCCTATAAAACGCGATAAAAAACATATATTTATATATGTTATATTTATCTATGTTTTTTATTATCCTTACCTTTTGAGCATTAAAGTTTGTTCTTTTTTTGTCATTAGTTTTTGCCTTTTCTTCCGTTGTGGTAGCTGGTATCTTTTCGTTTGTCACTTTCACCTTTGAAGGATTTTCCTGTTGAAGCTGCTTTTTGTTTTCTTTTTCTGTTTCTTTTTGGTCAACTTTCGACATGGGTGGATTTTCATCATTGTGGCTTTTCTATGGTAGAATAAACATTTTGAATATTATGGTATTATGGTTCTACGATTGTGGAGCGGATATACCTGTTTTAGCGTTGAAATAACATCCGTAACATTCCCTGATACCACCGTATTAGACTCATTTGATATTTGCTCTTTTCTTGTGTTTGGGATGACATCCAATGTAAAAGTCTTCTGCTCTTCAACAGAAGGGGAGGGTAGAGCTGCAGACTGACAAGTTTCTTGCACCCCCTTGACGTCTGTGATTGTGCTTGAGGCTTTTTTAGCTTCCTGTTGTTGAAGAAGGTTTGTTTTCCAAATTCATTCTAGTTAGGTTATTGTTAATTTGTTGGGGGAGTGGGGTTGTAAAAAAAGCTTACCTCTTGAGAGACAACGATAGTATCGGAAATACCCGTTTCTTCCTTTATCGATTTTAAAGCATTATCTATCGCTTCTGAATCCTTTTTTAAAGCCGGACTCTGCATACTTCCGTCTTCCTTGGCTTTGAGGTCTTTGCTAACCAACACTTCTCGTTTTGGGAGAAGTTTTTTTTTGCTTTAATTTTATTAGGGTTAAATTTCTGCCCTTTGGTTTCTTTATTTCCGTCTTTGTTCAGCAATGGATTAGGTTCGATTTGCGTTTTCTGTGGTAAGTATTAATGATAAAGCAAGATTGTAAAATAAAAACAATTTATTGTTATCTTCATAGGGGAAAGATGCTTGTGTATAGTATTGATAAAGTGTTTGAAGGGGGCCTTTACCTTCTGAAGAAATGAGATAAGCTCGTTTTTCTGTGTTGGACAATAATGAAAAAATGTATCAATGCGCGAGTTATGGGTTTTCGGCTAAACTGTACAGATGCTTACCTCTTGAGGCTCTGGTATAACAGTTTTACCAGAGCACGCTTCTGTTTTCTTATCCGAGTTTTCTTTTTCCTGTTCGATTTCACTTTCTCCTTTTTGTTTATCACTTATCTCATTGCTGTCTGTATCCTTTTCAAGATTCGGGTAGGGTGGATTTTCAACGTGATCCTTATGGTCTTTTATAACCGATTCTTTATTGTCCTGTTGCTGAGAAAAATATTGTTCTTATTATTAAAAGGGCCAAAAAGGGGACTCTTACTTGTTTTTTGCTTCTATTTTACAGGGTTTATAAAAATGTTTACCTCTTGAGAGCCTTGCCCAACTTTCTTAGTCTTATCTGATTTCTCCATTTTCCTTTTCTTTTCCTTCTTCTCTTTCTTTTTAGCTTTCTTATTTTCTTTTTTCATATCTCTTTTTTTGTCTTTTTTCTCTTTTTTCATATCTTTCTTCTTCTCCTTAATCGTTGATAAGCCTCCTTTGTGGCTTGTCTCCTTCTTGTCTGCATCCGTCTTAATAGTCGGGCAAGGTTTAGTTTTATCCTCATGGTCCTGTGTCACCTTCTGTTGGGGAGCTTTACCTTGATCTTTTTCTTCTTTAATTTCAGATGGGTACAATTTTGGAAAGTGTACTACGTTTGTTTCATATTGTTTTTTCTGGCATGAACAATAATGATAAATTAAATCACAATCAGTGTTTAAATTAATTAATTTGCCATCCTTACCTCTTGAGAACTTGGGATAATATCAGAGTTTTCATGTTCCTTTATCCCCTCTTTCTTTTCGTCTGTCTTTTGTTCTGTTGCATTCAATGTGTCATCTGTTAAAATTGGTTTAGCACTTGTCTCTTTATTGCCTGCTTCCTTCTTAATAACCAAGGAAGGTTTATTTTTGTCCACCTCCTCTTCTGTTCCCGATGATTTCTCTTCCTGTTCTTGGGGAACCTTTTGTTTTTCGTCCTTGTTTTCAGGCTGGTTAAACATTGCAAAATCGACTATGTACTGCTCAGTTGACTTTTTCGAAGACTCGGAACCAAACAGTTTTGTCTGTCATGAAAAATGATTCTTTACAATTAATGATGTTTGGCTACTTTTTAAGCATGCTTACCTCTTGGGAACTTGGAATAACGACTTTTTTCGAGCATAATACAGTTCTTGTGGCTTTATTCGAATCTTCCTTTCCTTTTTTTTCTTCTATCCCATCATCAGCCTTTTGTTCCCTCATATTTGTTTTGTCATCGGAAAGAGCTCCTTTGTCGCTCGTATCTTTCTCGTCTGCATTCTCTTTGAGAGCCAGGCAGGGCATATTTTTGTCAAGCTCCATTGCATCTTCTGCTGCTGATAATTTATTTTCCTCTCGTTGAACCTTTTCTGTTTCGTCTGTATTTTCAGAATGGTTAAGCATTTTACCCTCGTTCTGCTCAGTTGTTTTTTGTGACGACTCAAAATCACATAGGTTTTTCTGTCGTAAATAATAATGATATATTTAATAGCAATCAATGTTGAGATTTATAATTTTTGGCTACACTTTTAAGCATCCTTACCTCCTTGGGAACTCGGACTTACCAGTTTTCTAGAGCATAGTACAATTCTTTTGCCTTTATTCGACTTTTCCATTCCTTTTTTCTCTTCGATCCCTTCATCTGTCTTTGCTTCGGTCATCTTTGTTTTGGGATCTGATGAAGCTCCTTGGTCGGTTGTATCTTTCTTGTCTGCATCCTTTTTGTCAAGCTCTCTTGGTTCTTCTTTTACTGATGATATGCTTTCCTGCTGTTGAGGAACTATTTGTTTAACACCTTTATTTTCAGAAGTCTTCACATTTTTATCATCGATTATCTTCAGGTCAGTTGTCTTCTGTGTCGTATCTGATTCACAAGGTTTTTTCTATTACAGAATATATTAAAAGATTTATAAGCAATCAGTCATAACATTTGCTTTTGTGCTTTATTTATAAGATATTTATTATAAAATATGCTTACCTCTATTTTAGAGCCTGATCCAATTTTCGAACTCTTATCTGCTGTTTCCTTTTCTTTTTTCTTGTCCTTCTCGTGTTTCTTTTTTTCCTTCTTCTTTTCTTTCCTTTGTCTCTTCTTTTCTTTCTTACGATCTTTCTTTTCTTTCTTCATTTCTTTCTTCTTTTCTTTCTTGGCCTTTTTCTTCTCTTTAAGCTTCGATAAATCCTCATTATTGCTTGCTTCTTTCTTGACTGCATCCTTAATTTCAATCGGGCAAGACCTATTTTTGTCGAGCTCCTCATAGGATTGTGATAATTTATCTTCCTGTTGCTGAGGAAAGTTTTGGTTTTCATCTGTTTTTTCACAAGCGTTTACATTTTTACCATCGACAATGTTCTGCATACTTGTCTTTGGTGGTGGATCAGATTCGCAAAGTTTTTTCTGTTAAAAATAATGAAGATTTATTAGCTATCAGTGTAAGACGTTATTGACTTTTGACTTTATTGAAGAACATCCTTACCTCTTGAGAACCTGGAATAATATTTTTTTCACAATGTTGTAAAGATATTTCACCTTCTTTTTGCACTTTATTTTCATCATCAGTCTTATTTTCATTCAGCTTTGGCGTAACATTTGATACAAGTGCTTTGACACTTGTATCTTTCCTGTTTGCATTCTGTGTAATAGATGTGAAAGGCTTCTTCTTGTCAAGCTCCTTGGGATCTTTACTTATCGATGATTCATCTTGTTGTTCAGGAACTTTTTGTTTTTTATCAGGTTGTTCATTTTTACTATCGTCTATGTCTTGCTCAGTTGTCTTTGGTGACGGATCTGATTTACATTGTATTTCCTGTGATGGACAATATCGATTATTTTTTATCAGCTATCAGCTTTACTGAAAAACATCCTTACCTCCTCTTGAGAACGAGCAGGGACAATTTTTTCTGAATGTAGCAAAGAAATCTTGGTCCCTTGCGAAATTTCCTTTACGTTTTTCTGTTCTTTAATACCAACTGTCTTCTTTCCTTTGATCTTCGGCGTAACATCTGAAAAAAGATCTTTCTCTCTTGGCTTCTTGTAGTCTGCAGGTCTTGGAATAGACGGGGAAGGTTTTTTGTTGTCAAGCTCCTTGGGATCTTTTTCATCATTGGTCTTCCTTTCTTTGAACTTGAGCGTAACATCTGATGGAAGTTCTTTGATGTTTAGCTCTTTCTTGTCTACATTCCTTGTTGTATACGGGGAAGGCTTACTTTTATCGTGCTCTTTGTATTCAAGTTTTGTTGGCGATTGATCTTTCAGTTGTTGAGGGTGAAAAGTGTTTAAATTTCTACCATCGACTATGTGTGGCTCAGATGTCTTCAGTTCCGAATCTGAATCTAATAGTTTTTTCTGTAATTGACAACAACCTTTCGTCGACGATGAATGGGTTTCTTGGTGTTGAAGAACGTTTTGTTCTATATAAGGCTTTACAGGTTGTACAGTTCTACCATCGGCTATAATCTGTAATCAAAAAAAAAAAATATCTGTATAAGACTGTTGTGTCCTGACTGGCAAATTGATAATCAATGCAAAGCTCGAGCCGTAAGTACTAGGAAGCTAAAATCTAGACAATCAGTGTTGATTTGTGCCATTGATATTTAGTTATATTTTGGAAGATCCTCACCTCTAGAGATTTGGGGTTGACATCTTTACAGTCTAGTACGGACTTCTTGGTATTATTTGAATTTTCTTTTTCCTGTTCAATTGCTTCATCTTTCATTTCCTCCGCTGACTTTGATTTTTCATCTGATAAAGGTTGTTTAACACTCATTTCATTCGTATCTGCATCCTTTTTGAGAGTCGGACAAGGCTGATTTTCATTGACCTCCTTATGGTCTGCTGTTATCAATACTTTATTTTCCTGTTTTTAAGAAAGTTATTGTTGTTCATTATTAGAAGGGCCTAACTTTTAATTTTCGGTGTTGCATTGATTTGATGCAAAATAATATTAATTTCTTTTGCAATTGAAAATATATTTGTACGTTTATCTTCTCGAAGGATCCTTCTGTTTTCTTAGTTTCGATAAATATGCATGTGTTTTCTTGTTTGTGTGTTTCTGTGTAGGTGTATAGGTAGTTTGTAAGGGCAGCTCGGCGCAACAACAGAGTATTTATAAGACGGATTTTCTTCGACTAAATACCCCTCACTTGTTTCTTGCTGCTTTTGTTAAAGGCCCTATTGTAAAAGAAGCTTACCTCTTGGCAGCTAGGCACAAGATTCTTGGAGTTATCTGATTTTGCCGTTTCTTTTTTCTTGTCCCTATCTTTCTTTTTGTCTTTCTTCTTGTCTTTCTTCTTATCTTTCTTCTTTTCTTTATTCTTTGAAGCGCCGTCTGGTGTATCGCCTATGTTGATCGTCTCTTTTTTATCTGCATCCACTGCAAGAGTCGGGCTAGGCTTTATTATGTCAAGCTCCATGGGATTTTTGTGTTTTTCATCTTTTTTATCAGAAGGGTTTGAATTATCATCGACTTTGTTTTGCTCAGTTGTCTTTGGGGACGGATCTGATCCACATGAGGTTTTCTGTAAACGATTACAACGATTAATATAAAAACAGTCAATATAAACAGTTATTGTTTTGGGATTCATCTACCTCTTGAGAACCTGGATCAACACTTTTTTGACAGTGTAGTAAGGATATCTTCGTCTCTTGCTCTTTATATTTTGGTGTTACCAACGATTGAAATTCCTCTTGTAGACGGGTAGAAGGGTTTAAATTTTCTCCATCGACCTGGTTTTGCTCAGACGTTTTTGGGGGCAGATCTGATCCACACAATTTTTTCTGTAATTGACAATAATAATTAGCTATCAGGGTAACCATTTATATATGAGATACTAATATCCATACCTCTTCAGAATCTGGAAGAAACATTTTTTCAGAGCGAAGTAAATTTATGTTGGTCCTTTGCGAAATTTCTGTTTTTTTTTCCTGTTGTTTTGTTTCAACAATTTTCTTTTCTTTTTTTTTTAATATGTCCCCTGCCACTCCTTGCTTATCAGCTGACATTTTCTTGCATGTATCCTTCCTGAAGGTCGGATAAGACATATTTTCATCTAGCTCCTCCCTGTCTTTGGTAGCCGATGATATATCTTGCTGTAGCTCAGGAAGTTTTTGATCGTTATTCCTAAAAATGCTTAACTGTTCATCTTCGGCAGTTATTTGAACAATTGTCTTCTGTAATTCATGTCGTTCTTGACTTAATTGAAACTATTCAAAAAAATTTGTATAATTGTTGACACCAGTTAAGTGTGTTTATATGAACTTTACCTTTTGAGAGCCTGGTATCAAATCTGTTTTAGAGCTTGGTAATATGATCTCTGATTTACCCGAATTTTCCATACTATTTTTATTTTCTTTTCTTTCAACTTGCTTCATGTCTCTTTTTATTTTTAATTGGTCATCAGATGAACTTCGCTTGAGAGTTATATCTTTTTTGGCAGCATCCTTTTCAATAGTCGGACTAAGCCTACTTTTGGCTAGCTCCTTGGGATCTTTTTTTGCCAATGACGCATTGACGTATTGTTGAGGAGGTTTTTGTTTCTCATCTTGGTTTTTGAAAAGCTTTAAATTTCTAACATCGACCACGTTCTGCTCAGATGACTTCAGTAACGGATCTGACTCTAATAGATTCTTCTGTAATATACAATAAAAAATAAATTATTTTCTTTCATTTTAGTAATTCTGTCGGCCATACTGAATACAATTTTACCTCTTGAGAACTTGGAGTAATAGTTTGATGGGTCTTGGTCTTATGCGAAATTTCTTTTTCTTTTTTCGGTTCTTTCACATGCTGTGTCATCTTTTCTTTGATTCTTGGCGTATCATTTGTTAAAAGCTCTTTGCAACTTGGCTCTTTGTTAGGAACATCCTTTTTAAAAGACGGGGAAAGCTTATTTTTGCTCAGCTCCTTGGGGCCTTTTCTTAACGAAGATTGATGATCCTGTTGTTGAGAAACTTTTTGTTTCTCATCTTTATTACTAAAAGGGTTTACGTTTCTACCATCGACTATGTTTTGCTCCGCTGGCTTCAGTAATTGATCTGACTCAAATAGACTTTTCTGTAATAGACAATAACGATTAAGTTGCTTGTAATAAGGGGAACCATTTGTAAATTCTTGGTTATACTAAATAATATCCTTACGTCTTCAGAGTCCATTAAACTTATGTTGGTCTTTTGAGAAATTTCTCTATCTATTTGGAGTTTTTTTGTTTCATCGATTTTTGATTCTTTTGTTTTCAATACGTCGCCTGACACTCCCCGCTTATCAGCTGACACTGTCTTGCCTGTGTCTTTCTTGAAGGTCGGGCAAGGCCTATTATCATCGAGCTCTCCACAGTCTTTGATAAGCGATGATTTATCTGGCTGTAATTGAGGAAGTTTTTGATCGTTATTTCTAGAATGGCTCAACTGTTTTTCATGAGCAATTTTTCGCACAATTGTTTTCTGTAATTCACATCGTTCTTTCTGTAATTGATTGTAAACAGAGTGTATTTGTAATTTTTGATAATAGACGACTAATAAAATTATAAATTTTTTAAAGAACCTACCTCTTGAGCGCCCGTTACGATGTTGATAGTCATTTCAGATTTTTGCCTTTCCTTTGTATTGAGTTGTCTCACATCTTTCTTTATTTTGATCTTTAGTTGATCATCTGATGAACTTCGCTTGAGAGTTGTATCTTTTTTATCTATATCTATTTTAAAAGTGGGACAAGGCCTATTTTTGACTAGAACCTTTGGATCTTTTTTTACCCATGGTTCGTGTTGTTGAGAAGGTTTTTGAATGTCATCTGTAATTTTAAAGGGGTTGAATATTTTACTCTCGACCGTATTCTGCTCAGATGTCTTCAGTAACAGGTCTGATTTAAATAGTTTTTGCTGTGATTAATAATAAAAAAAATATTGATTTTCTTTACATTTAATGTCTTTGAACTTAATTTCAAGAGATGCTTACCTCTTGAGAACTTGAAATAACATCTTTCTGTAGTTGAGAATGTTTATGTTTAATATTTTTAGAATGGCTCATCTGTGTATCAACGACAACTTTTCGCTGAGTCATCCTCTGTAGTTCACTCAGTTTTTTCTGTAAACGAACATTTTACAAATTGTGATAAGCTATTTTTTATTTGTTGTTGTTTTGTTTTTACCTCTTGACCACCGTTGATCACATCTATTTCAGAGCCTGGTATTATGCTCGTGGTCTGAGCTAACTTCTCTTTTATATTTGATTTGTCGCTCTTGCTGCTTTCATCTTTTTTGTCTTTATCCTTTTTAACAGTCAGGCAAGGCCTTTGTTTGACAATTTCCTTGGGATCCTTCGATACCGATGCCTTATCTATCTTTTGCTTAGGCATTTTCTCGAGTCTGTCTTTAGTCTTAAAAGGATTTGGAATTTTACTATCGGCCATGGTTTGCTCGGTTGTCTTATGTAATGGATAAGATGTATATTGTTTTTTCTGTGAAAGACAATAACGACTAGCTTATTAGCAAACGGGGCAACGTTTATTGATTTTTAAAAAATATGCCTTACCCCTTCAGATCTAGGAACAATCATTTGTTCTGATTGTAGTAAAGATATATTGGTCTTGTTTGCAATTTCCTTTTCTTTTTCCTGATCTTTTTTAAAATTTAGCGTCCTATCTTGGATCTTCGTCTTATCTGATAAACATTTTTGTTCACTTGGCTCTTTTGTTTCTGCACCCTTTTTAAAAGTCAGGCAAGGCTTATTTTTGATAAAGTCCTTTGGATCTTCGGTTACCAATGATTGACCTTCCTGTTAAATGTTTTTGATTATTTGTTCTTCAGCAATAAATGGGCATTTCAAAATGTCCCTGCAGGACTAGATTGTTTAAAATGCTTACCTGTTGCAAACCTGGAACAATCTGTTTTTCTGTGGCTGGTACAATTTTCTTATCAATTGAGGGTTCAGGTTCATTAGCTATTTTCTGGATCTTTTTCCTAAATGTCATATTTTTGAGCGTCGTTGATATGGCTTCTGAAAAAAGTCCTTTGTCAATGACTTTTTTGTCTGCATAAAACGGTAAAGGCTTATTTTTATCGAGCTTCAAAGGGTCTTCAGCTACAGATGCTTTCCGTTGGTCGAAAGTCGTTTGTTTCACATAACTGTTTTCAGAAGGTTTTAGCTTTTTATCATCATCGGCCGTGTTTTGTCCAATTGTCTGCAGTAATCGATTGGGTGCTACCTTTTTGCCCTGTTATAGAAAATAATAAAAAAAGGATATTTTTAGTTTATTCTTTATGAGTTAATTATAGGAAATAATTAAATTTTAAAATCATGGTGATAACTATGTACATCGCATAATACCTTTTGAGCATCCAAGTTTACTCCGCATTTCGATACGTCTTTAGCGGCCTTATCCGTTGTGGGGTTTCTTTCTTTGCTTACAGACATTTTCCTAACAGTTGTTCCTTTTTTCTTTGGAACAGTTTTTGGCTGTTGCTGAGATTTCTCGATTACAGACTGTTGTTTATCCAATTGCTTTTCAAGTTCATACCGCTCAGTATTCAACTGCGCATCTTGTTTTTCTTGTACCTATTGAATAATTTTATGCATAATCTATTAATATAAAACAGTTTGAAACAACTATCTTCCGAACGCCGAAAACCATAGCTTAAAAATGAGACACCAGTTTGCCTATTATCTTATACTATACAAGGGTATCAAAAATAGATATATTTTAAGAGGGTATAGAGATTTGCTTTCACCTTTTCGGCTTTCAAGATTCCTTTGTCTTTAAGGCTAGATGTATCCGATGCATCCTGATTGGCCTTGTCCGTTGATGCCATTTCCATCTTCGTAGAAGGCTGTGTTTTTGCTATAGCGTCTGTTGCTTTTAAAACAAGTTCCTTTTTAAGTTGCTGCTGTTGTATATCAATTAAGCCCTTATTATTGTCCTTCTTAAATACAATCCTTTTTTTTTGGGGCAGATTTTTCGGAAGTCCTTCTTCGAGCCTTTTCTTTTCCAAGGACATTAATGTTTTGTCGATTTCTTTGTGCATTGGCTTATTTGCAGCTACATTATCATTTTGTTTTTCCTGTGGCAAACGATTAAAGATTAAGAGTAAAGAAAAAAATATTAATATAGGTTATAAGAAAGGACAAACATGTATATTTATCATTACATTTCGAGAATCCACGCTTATTTTGCGAAGCCTATTTGAAGTCTTCTTAGTAAATACTGACGTATCAATTGCCTCATCGAAGGACTTGAATTTCTTAGCAGCATCAATTTTCTTCTCGGTTTTCGTCCGGTTTGCACTATCCTCCTGTGGTTTTACTTGACATTTGGGCGTTTCATCAGATGTTAAATTAGCATTTGCCATTGCCTTAGTTTCCTGCTCTTTACTGATATTTGGTAATGGTTTAGCAACTTTTGTATCATCGTTTACTTTTTTAACTTCTTTCAACTTTCTTTGATCTTCAAGCTTCTGTTGGGCTTCTAGAATTTGGGTACTTCTTTCTCCAACTTTTACTTTGATGTACTTTTGTTTCTCTTTCTGTCGGCTCTTAGTTTCCTTTTTTTTTAAGTTGGCTTTTTCATCCTCAAACAGATCTTCTTCAGCGTTTTCTATTGATATCTTTGGTTTAGCTTTAGTAGCATCTGACAATGGTTTCTTAGTAGTTGTATCTTTAACTTTCCCTATTTTAGTATTGGACTTCGGTGTTTGTTTATTACTCAATTGTTTTGAAGATGCCTCCACTCTGTTCTCCGGGATCTTCTTAACAGGGTCTTTGATTGTTTGTTTGGCATTTTGCGACTGTGAATTAATTTGTTCCTCGCTTTTATTATCCGTTATTTTCAATTTCTTACAATCAGGCTCCTTTGACTCCGTTTTCTGCTGCGATGGGTCTAATGTATTTGGTTTTTTCTGCGACTAACGAAAAGTAATGCATATTAAGGTATAAGTTTGGTTATCAGACAAATATATAAATGAACTAATTCTTACTCTCTGAGCATCCAAGCTTAATTGCCTTTTTATGCCAAATTTTTTTGTATTATCCTTACTGGCCCCACCGGATGTTGCTTTGACTTCCTTCTTAGTAGTGGGCGCTTTATCGAAAGCTCTTTTTTCGTTAGAAACATTTTGCTCTTGGGACGCTTGACATTCTAGATTGAGCTTATCGTCAGATTCTCTCTGCTCTGTTGCCCGATGAGTTCCAAGAGCTCCCCGTTGGTTTTCTTGTGATTTTTGTTTTTCTCCAGTTTTCGAATTGGCATCTCGTTGCTTTAATTTTTTGCCGTATAGAAAAGTGCAGATTTTATAAGTAAACAAATTTGTTAATATAAAAGCTTTTCATACAAACAAAATTTATTTATGGTTAATATTTACCCTTACGTCCAACTTTACATTTCTTTTTGAACTCGAGGCATTTATAGATGTTTCTTTTGTTGGGTTTTCCTCAATTTTGGTACATTCTTTGCTTTCTATTGCATTTCGCTCTTTTAATGCACTTTCACATCGACGCGACTGAGCTTTCGCTTTCTTCACTGTACCCCCTAATTCATGCGCCTGCTGTTGTGGGGTTTCTCTAACGCTTTTCACATCTCTAGGCTTCACTTTGTCATCGGTATCTTTCTTGTCGGTTTTCTTACGAGTTGTTTTGTCTTCACCTTTTTCTTGTGCCTTTGCCTTTTGATTGCCATGCTTTCTTTCCTGTTCCTGCGACTGCAAGAAAAAAACTTTTTATTTTTGGTTTTTTCTTTTTGGTGGTTCTGGTTTTCCTTTTTGCTTTTGTCTTCTTCAGTTAGTGGACCTTCAAAAACCTCACAGCGTAGTTAATTAATTAATTAATAACAAATTAGAACTTTGGGTTGCGAGCTGTTTGGGCTCTGACAGCATTCGATAAGTCGATCTACGAGTGGAACACAAACTTAATTTGCCAAAAACAAGGATGCCAACATGCAGTCTCGTTTCCGTTCAAATAATAAAAATACCAATGCATAAGAGATACATAGCTTTCTTTGTTCATCAACACTGTCACTCTAGCCTCGATTACCTTATTTTCTGGACAAGTGTCCATCTTTTTTTCCGCTGTGCTCGAACCAATGCACGAGGATACTTGACTATCCGGTACAAGACTGTCGGCATTCTCTGCCATTCTTCAAAGTATTTAACTCTATACCTTTCGCGCACTTCTTCACATGTTCACTTTACACTTAGTTGGAGTTTAACTTCTAATATACACGGTTGAAAACTTTTGATGGCAAATAAAAGAGCGGAAGCTTTAGAATTTAATGACACATTCCAATTCGCAAGTGATGGGAGACAAATCGACTTGAAAAGTGTTGAGCAACCCGATGACACTTGCTTAGAGCTTGCAGTTGCAGCTTGGCATAAGTGTCGGATAACTCGATAACGATTGATATGTAATATCGAACAACAGTTACTAAGTGTGGGACAATAACAAAATAATTTAAGCCGTGGCCAGCACTCAAAAAGGGAAGAGCTGCAAATAAACGTTATTTTGCCATAAAACGGACGGCCGGATTGAAGAGAGATGAGATCAGTGTTCAATACGAGATATATGTATAGCTAGATATGTATGTAGTTATACCAGACATATCAGTTGATCATACACGAAGCAATAACATTAAGCGAAATGAGCACAATGCACAGGCACATATAATGTCACACTTCACGACACAGGCAAATATAAATTTTGTGAGCACGGGCTTATTTATGTATATGTATCATATTCAACATATTTGTGAATGGCGCACTTAATTTAAGCACCAATTCAAACGGTAGCCGAATATAAACAACAATTTGTACACGCAAAGAACTCGTAGTGCACATTCTGTTCGATCCCTGTTTGAGGGATGGCGGGGTGGAAGTTTTGGGTTCGATGCCAATGTCAGGCCGAGAGCAAATTGACAAACGCTGGTGATTAATCTTGAACACCGTAGAAATTCCATGCAAAATAGCAAAAAATTTGCACAATGCTGTCCCACGGTCCTCAGTCCTCCTGTGTCCTTTGTTAATGGCTGATGGGCTGGCTGGCATCGGTGGCGTCTATTTAGGGAAATGTGGTGGCAGCCAACAAAAAGAACAACAAACAGACAGGACAACAGATAGAGCCGAACAATGGGCGGGAATAACAGCAACAACAGCAGCGAACTACAACAACAATGACATCAATAGGCGCAATTGAAACAAGTGTTGTCACGCCGCTAACTGCGACGGCGACGTTGACGTTGACGGCGACTGCGACGCTGTTGTCCTGGCCTAATGGTTGACAAGCAGCGGTCAGTAAAACCCATTATCTCGGCTTTTTTTTACCCTACCCAGAGGAATGGAATAATGAGAGTTATTAGAAGGTTTCGATTCATTTCATTCCAATTCTGGTAAGTTATGTTTTAAATGAGCTTTATTAATTTTAATTTATGGCATAAAATCAATGCCGAATATGCTTAAATTTCTATTCACAGTCGTTGCCCCTTCTTGCATGAGTAGTATTTGGGAAAGCTGAACTTAAGGAAGGGTATCCAGACTTTGCTTTCGATTTTGTTTATTATTGTCTGCGCCTTTTTGACCTATATAGACGCGTATAGTTGCGCCCGACTTGGCACAATTGACAGGCGGAGAGGGCGGTTTGGTAGGGGGATGGGGATGGGGCACGGTCAGGATTGAAGGACTATACACAGGGACATGCTTGGCTGCACAGTCAACTGCTGTTTGTTGTTATTGTTGGTTGTGTTGCTGCTGTTGTTGTCGCTGCAATTATACAAATTAATTTCCAGACAAAAGCGTGCAGATTGTTTTTCGAAGCCCCTTGTTTGGTCGTGGACGTGGCTGCAATGGAAACCAGTTTGATACATATATCAGACAGCAAACAGAATGGAAAGACAAAGAGACGGGCAACACTATCGTTCCATGGCCATTGATGGAGGATACCATCGTCTTCTTTAAATAGCCAACCATTCAAAATCAAGGCGGATCTGCAACTGAGAAATTGCCATTTGCAATTTGCCATTTGCAGCTGCAGCTGCAGCTAATACCGCACCGCAGGCGGTTGCCAAGCCATGGAATATGGCGTCATCCCAAGCAGAATTTCCCATGGCTAACATCGCTGGCATCCCAAGCACACTTTCACCCTCATTCGTTTCACTCAAAGCAGCTTGTGATGTTTGTTTTTTTTTTGTTTTCTTCTTTTTTCGAATGCAATCATACTGCATTAACCTTCAGCTCGTCATCGTGCACGCCACGCGTTTAAGCTCTGCAATTGCCAATCGCCTTCGGATATGCTTATCTTTAAAAGTAATACTTCCCAACTATTGCTGTACTTTAACAGCTGTCAATTCACATTAACATCGCATTAACATTTTAAATACTGTTAACAAGACTGCAGTGGCCGCCGCTGCTGTGAATCGAGTTTTCAGTAATTGTGGAGAATGGAGATTGCCTTAATTAGTTTAGCTTTTGTCAGTTGCTTTTAGTTGACAAGAAGTTCAATTAATTTTGCATACCCATATTCAGCTTGATAAAGTTTGACAGGCAGATCAACGAACAGCAAAGTTACCTAAGGTTAAATGATTATTAATTTTCGTATCGTTCACATGGCTTTTATCAAGAGCTTTATTAATGGGTCCCACTGTTTGGCTCGCAAATTTTGCCAACGGTGCAGCTAAGTTTTTGGCCTGGTTCGTATTTCTGTTTTTCGTTAGTTTTTTTTTTTGTGTTTTTTTTTGTGTTTTTTTTTCCTTTTTCTTTTGGTGTTCTCACGCAGCAGCCGCCAGCAAGGCGCGGAAATTGGGCAGTCAGCCAGGGCCAGCCAACGTATCCATGCGTTGCATCAAGACTCGGGCCAGGCTTTTCGCTTTCAAATGCCTATGCAACAATGGGGCAGGAGTGCGGCACTTTACTGAGTGGCAGCGTGGCAGCGGGACAGAGGAGGTGCCTTTTTGCAAGTGGTTTGATTTGTGATTTTGGCATTCTTGTGTATGTCGCTAGCTGCTTAAATTTGAGCTGGCTTTCGATTTTGTGGGTCGCACAATTTATGCGCACTTTATGCGTTGCCCAAGTCGTGACTTGGACTCGAAGAGTGGAGCATGGAACATTAGTTCATACAGCATGGCGTTCAAGTTATGCAATGTGCGTGTGTGCGCTTGTGCGTGTGTGCGCTTGTGCGTGTGTGCGTTTGTGCGTGTGTGCGTTTGAGCTTGTGTGGGGGCTGTGAAGCTGTCAAGTGAGAGTTGCACCTATTGCACTAGATTCAAGTGGCAGCTGCAACTTGTTCACTGGCTGCGAGGCAGAACAATTAACAACGCCGAACGTTGCCAGTAAATGCATTTTAATAACACTCTATTATATCATTCAATTAAAACAGCATACGCATAATTGTTTGAAAGGTTATTTAGAAAGGGGCGAATACCAAGTAACGAGTAGCCAGCTAGAATCGGAAAATAGCCAGTCTCAAACGATGTTCTAACGAGTAACATGTAAGAATATTCAGTATGAATGCGATAAGAGAGTAAGAACGACTGACTAGTAACAAGCAACAAGAATTAGGACGAGCAGGTAACGAGAAAAGAAAGTTATTATTCACGTTAGCTTGTAAATGAAGGCGATCAACGAGTAAGCAGTAACGAAAAAGGAAAGAGAAAATGCGAACGAGTTGTTATTAGCAACGAGTTATGAGAATAAGCAACAATGATAAACTAACACGGCGAAAACGGCTAAGTCGTCGACAGTAGCGAGTAACGAGTAACGATTAAGGATTATGGTAATAGGAACGAGTTGGTATTAGCATCGAGTTATTAGAGTTAGCAATTAAGATAAACTACTACGACGAAAACGGCTTAGCAGTAAACAGTGGCGAGTGCTTAGTAACGAATGAGATATCAAAACGAACGAGTTGGTATTAGCCATTTGCAAGGAATTAATAGTGGCTAACGAGCAGCGAGTTAGCGATTAAGATAAACTAGTTAACATTAGCGAGTAAAAATACGAGCAACTAGTTGGCATTCGGCGGTAACTAAGCGAGTCATGAGAGTAAGCAATGAAGATAAACTAAAAACACTTGTCGGGTTTTGCTAACTGACCAATTTGTAAGCCACTCTAGATAATAAATTGCTAAAAAATATGTTTTGATTGCGTCGAATAGCTATGCAGTTCTTGTTGCCTGTGTGTTGAGATACTTAGTTGACATTGTTAGGTGGCTATAAAGCTGGTAGGTTTTTCCTGCTGCCGCATGCCGCAGTACGTTGTTCATTGAATTTCATTGACCGGATCAACAAATAAGTCAACAACAATTTCCAATTAAATAATGGCTCCGATGTGATTTCGATTAACTTGAATTTGCAGCGAATTGAAAGGCAATCAAAAATATGGGCAGAGCAACAGCATTGAGGCGGGTGTTGGCTGCAACTGCAACAGCGACTGCGACTGCGTCTGCCTCTGCGTTGCATTGCGTTGGCCGCGCCTGCGCAGTGCGAGCATTCACAATAGCCAGACAGAGGCTGGCCGCTGCGGCTGCCTGCTTTGCCAAAAAGTCGAAGCGCGACGCTCCAAACTTGTTTTCTATGGCTGCCGCCGCTGCCTCTGCCGCAGCTGTCTCTGCCGCCGCTGCTGCTGCTGCTGACGCTGGACCATATTTTCCCAGCGTTTTTTTTGTATCATGTGGCGCGGTATAAATAGGCCCAAAGAACGCGATACTGAGACAGTTTTCGATTCGAAGCCTAGCAGCCCGGTGCAGTAAATCAGTTCAAAAACTGCAAATTTTTTTTTCACGTGCAGCAAACATATTAAAAAACCACACTCAAAATGGCATTCAAGGTGCGTAAGGACTAAAGTGTCTGCGTGTGTTTCTCTGTGTGTGTGTGTGTGTCCGACAGATTACCTGGTCAGGATGCACTCAGCGTCAAAGCTGTTTGCCGTGAGTTGTTGCCAGGTTGAAAATTCAAACAGATGCAATTGCAAATGTCCTAGCTGAGCAAGCAAAACTTTTGCTTGTTATCCTTTCCACAGTTGATGGCATCGCATTGTAGACAAATGCTACGAGGAAAACAAATATCAGAGTTCTTTAGTCAACGCTCTCCCTGCTCCGCCCCAAACATCAAGCTATTTCTTTTGTTTTTATACTCTAAAACAATACGCGTGCCACAAAACAACCCCATCTGCATTATTTTATACATATGTATATACATATATGTAGTATTTTTTTTTTTTTTTTTCAAATTCCCAGTAAATTGTGTGCTATTGCGCTTTAGTTTTTAGTTATCGGGAAAAGTGGAACAGAGCGTTGCCTGTTTGGACAGAAACCAGGCGGCATTTCTGCCATAAGAACACACTTCTCTTGAATTGCAAAGAGCAAATATTTGTGCTTTTGCAAAAAATTAGCCAGAAAAAACGTGATGTTTTTTCATACAATATTGCGCTCGACTTCAGCAGCGCACTTTTAAAGTTTTAATGATTGGCAAATTACGTTTCAATTTTCAATACTGTTGTTGAAGGTCAGTAAAAGGGCACTTACAAATTGTAATCCGAGTGATTTTTGAAAATCAAAGCACATGTAAGCTGTATCTCATTGTAAGCATATCGCATAATGAGGCTTTAAGCTAGCTTTAATTCGAGCTTACGGCTATATTCAGTTGCTTAAGCTTTGAAAGCACATTAAAGCTTCAAGCGAATTGTCTGAAAGCTCAACAGAATAAGTCAGTGGGTTTTACGTAAGCACCTGCCATGATGGCTTAATCTCACGGAATTCGAAAATACAACGAGCCGAAACAATGCGTAGGACTAGCGCCCCTCCGGAACCCTGCTTGCACAGTGAACCTTCGGTACCAATTGAATGCATGTTGGGCGGAACAATACATTCCCTCATTGGTGGGAGGTGAGGCCTACCTAAAACCTCAATTGTACAATTTGGTTGACAAGCAACTCCACGTCGAGTCAAAGCTCTACCCGCGATTTGGGTATAAGCCACAACCACCACGATACTCCCCGAAGGGCCGCAACCAAAAAGTCAGGACGGAACAAGTTCCGCGGGCTCCTGGCTACCCGTGGTACCAAATTTACTTACAGTATTGGTCGACTGCCGTAGTTGTATACTACCCATTTTAGTCCCCTATCAGACAGAGAAAGGGTCATCTTATTTCGCCGCTCGAAGTGGCTGGTTGTCCAAATCAACCATGGACAATAACCCAGGGTTACCACGTGGAGGCCACATTCATAATATTGTGGGGCACACTGTGCCTTCGAGTCGACTTGACTAATGATTTACGAAATACGCAACATGCCGTTCTACATCGGTCCATTGAACCCCTGAAAGCTCAACAGACTTTAAGCACCTTAAATTAATAACTTCAACTGTCACTGTCAGCCCTCATCATAAAATTAAAGTTTCGAAATTTGTTACCGCTCGCCAAGCAAGGCAAAAGTCTGAAATGGAAAACTTTTGAATTCGCCGAAGCAACTTTCAACTTTAGTTGACCTCTGATATGCTTTAGCATATTTCGAAAGTTAAAGCATAAGTAAATATGAAACCAGCAGCAAATATTTGAAGGCAATCGGGCTGACAGGCGATATGATGCTAATTAAGTAGTTCAATACTTGCAATTATCGCGAAAAATAATGCAAATAACAAAAAAATAATGAAATATGCGAAATTAATTGCAAACAAAATTTCAGTGCAATGAGCGTAGTGCAGCCAATGCGAAGTAGGTCAATCAAATGCCAAGGGACAAAGAAAACAAGCAAGGATTCTCTGGGGTCTAGTGTTCGACTTGGAGATACCCTTTAACCAGGGCCAACCATGCTATTTTTTTTCACATTATGCAGCGCCTATGCTTCCTCAATCCCAGCCACACACTATGTATGAGAAATGCATCCCGATTAACTTCGGTATTTATGTATGTTCCGATCCTAATGAAATTTATAATCCGTAAATATGGCAAAGAAAAGTATGCATATAAAAAAGCGCAAGGCTCTATCTTTTTTTGTTAATTTTGGGGGATTTCCTTCCAAACGCAATGCAAACTATGCTAAAACTCTCATCTGGTTTTAAGAATATATCAGAAAGTAGCTGTATAACCCGTTTGCACTGGTTTCAGGGTATAAACCCCTTCGAGCTGTCCTCGCAAGTATTTCATCTGTAAAGTCACGCACCCTTGCAGCCACGACTGTCGACGAGCTGGCCAAATGGTCAGCTTAAATTGTCCACTTGAAGCTCGCGTTTTAAGCGAAAGTTCTGGACTTTTTCCCATTTATTTTCGCGGCTATTTGCAGAGCCCCTTCGGTGCGGGCCCATTCCTGGCTGGCAGTCAGTTACGCTTAATTAAAATCAGATAAATACCCAAAGACAAATAAAAGCCGCGCCAAGTCAAGTGCAAGGCAGTCACGTCAGGCTGAAAATAAAACAAAACAAAATCAAACACAGTGAAATAAAACAAAACACACAGCGAGAGGGGCACGAAAGGAAATGATATACATTTTAAATAAAAAAAAAGGCAAGCACAACTCGCTTATGTGCCCCAACCCATAAACTTTGCGGATGTTTTCCTCTCTTATATATAAGTATTTTTTTTGCATTTTTCCGCGTAAATTGAAATTCAATGGAATTGCTTACAAAAATGTAATAAGTAAGGTCGCAAAACATAACAAAAGAAGCAAGACAAATGTAAAACACTAAACAAAAAACAGCAAAATTAGACTTGTAATACCCTAGCAAGAGTGGTTTTTAAGATAACTATTTCGAAAGGACAATTAAAATTGGTTGAGAAAAAAGGAAATGCGAACAAACAGCGAGTCACCAAAAGACTCGCTCGAGCAGTACTACGAATAACCGAGTTGCAAGTAATTGGTGAGAGTCGAACAATAAATAGCGAGAACCAAGCGGCGAGTAAGGAGCTACGAAGCTACGAGCTGCAATGAAATGAGGAAAGGAATATATGGTATGAGAGAGGACAAATAAGGCGAAAGCGAGTTAAAAATATCAAGTGACGAGTAAACAATAAATAATATACGAAGTGACGAGTAGCAAGTAAGTAGCTGGCATTAGCTAGTAACGAGGACGAACCCTGAGAGCTGTAAGGAAAGAGGAAAAGGCTAAAAACTAATCAAATGTAAAATGTATTTTGCGAAGCGACGAGTAAATAGTAACTAGTAACTAGTGAAGCGAATAACTAGGAGCGAGAATAGTCCCTTAAAGCAAATTAAAAATAACAAATCCCGTTTTAACAATTATTAATTTACGAAGTAACGAGTAGCCATAAATAATAGAAAAAGTAACGAAAAACAGACGAGTTGAAGCGAGTAGCTTTCTGCGAGTAGCTAGTACCTAGAATGGTTTAAACGAGCTATGTACATATAAAGAAAATAAAATGCAACATAGGCAAGCAAATAAGGAATGAGAAGTGACATGTAAACAATAAATTATTCAAAAGAACGAGAGCTAGTTATACTGATAACATTCGGTTACTGCGTCAAAGGCTCGCCGACTTATTGACAAATTACAAGCAGTTCAATGCTGTTAACATAATTGATATGATTTTAAGTAGTGCCATATGTCAAAATAGTTTGTCAAGCTGCAAGCCAACACACAATGTTGCTATGGCAGCGCTCCGGGCAAATTCTACGTAAATAACACGTATACGCCGCATTGAACAGACAGTTGAAAGGCTGCCGTGTTGCAGCAAAAAACAGTTTGTGTGTATATGAGATAGCCAAAGGGATACAGAGACAGAGACAGAGATAGAGAGAGAGAGAGAGAGAGAGAGAGGGAGAGGGCGAGAGAGTGAGTGGTAGAAAATTTGAATTCCCAACTACTTTGGCAACTTAATTAAAAGTTTATGCGCCTGCAATTTCCTAGGGCGTCGTGTGTTCTTTGTCGATATGCAAACAAAATACAAATGAGTTGTCCTACGGCTGCTGCGCTCACTGATTTATGAATGCCCGCTCTTGTGCGTGTGTGTGTGCGTGTGTGTGCGTGTGTGTGTGCGTGTGTGTGCGTGCGTTTCGTGTGTTAATAAGGCTGTATTCTATTGTGCATCTGTTGTAGCTCATCTTCTGCCTGGCCGCAATGGCCATTGCCGCTGCCCAGGCCAAGCCCGGCGGTCCCGCTGCCTATTCGATTAGCGCGCCCAGCGTGGACCACGCCTCGGTTGGCAATACACAGGAGCACACGGTGAAGGGACACTACGGCCAATCGTCTCAGTCTGACTATGCCAGTCAGGTGCAGACCGCCCACTCTCAGTCGCATGTGCAGCGCTCCAGCATCAGCAACGACGGCGGCCTGGCGCCCGCCCACTATGCTGGTAAGTCGGCAACGCATTCACAATAACAATTCGCGACACATTCGCATTGCACATGCAACAACATTCACTCGGACATTCACAACACGCACAAAGCACTCACTTCACCTCATTCAATATGCACGTAGTTCAAATGCTAACACTCAAAAAAACAAAACAAAAAAACAAATTCGTATCTAGCCGCGCCACAAGTCGCCAGCTACGCACTTGGACACACCGCGCCCGCCGCCCAAATACAGCTGACCAGCGGCCACGCCGCCTTGGGCCAGGGTCTGGCCTATGGTGGACACTATGCAGCAGCCGCTGCTGCGCCCACGCTCGCCTATGGCGGTCACTACGCCGCTGCCGCCCCAGCCCTGGCCTATGGAGGCCACTATGCAGCCACAGCGCCCGCTCTGCAGCTGTCGGGCGCCTCGCACCTGGGCTATGGCTATGGATATAGTGCTGCTGCCGCACCGGCGCTCTCGCATGGTTATCTGGCAGCTGCCGCACCCGCACCCATTGTGAAATACGCCGCCGCCGCTCCAGCTTATGGTAGGTGCCACAGAGTACAGAGTACAGAGTAGCCGTATTCCACTCTGCCAAAATCTAATCCCGAGCACCCTTTGCACCTCTCCCTACCTGTAGCTGTGGTTGTGGTTGTAGTTGCGTAGCTTTTACTAATCTTCCAGCAACATTTGTTCCAGCTCGTGCACTCCTGAATCTAATATCTGGTTAGGCTCTGATCTGATCAGCTGGCTGAGCTTCAGCTCTGACTTATCTGCTCCATGTTGGAGTTGTCTTTGGGTTTTCAGCTGGCTGCAATTTATCGTGTTTTCCTTTATTTCGCTAGCCAAGTGCACTTGGCCAAAACAAACTTTTGACGCTGTATAAATACAATGCCCAACTTTCATTTGGGCCATGCTTCGCTACGTTGCTGACAGCTGCAGTTGAATACGATGAGTGGGCGGTTGGGTATGTAACCAGAGAGGGTGGTGCGGGGTGAGGCTGTGTGAACCGGAGAAAAACACAAACATTAAGCCTTTGTGCCCGGACTCTGAGGCCAGTGCAAAAGTAAGTTGAGTTCTCAGAATCCAGTCCATGCAGTCCAATCCATTTCTGGCAAAAGCAAACGAGAGATCAGATATATTGTCCATTAAGGTTGGACAGGTGGAAAGTAGGCGGGATCAATGTCTAGCAATTTAATTATTGTGTAATTAATCCGTCGTATATGTTAAACCTTATTCTGGGAACATTTGTAAAAATTTTTAAGAACCATTCGAAATCCAGATCTGCCTAGCACAGAAAACGTTGCGCTGGTTCGATTTCCGGCTCAAACTTAGGCTTAAGTTTTCGCTTTTGAGCCCAGATTTCCTTATCCATGAATTGGGATTAGAATTTGGTTCGATTACGGGTTAAGCGATTTTTCTTAAATTTTCAATAGAATGTTTTAATTGAAATAATGCTGATAATATTTTCTTCCGAGCCAAGCCGTTTTCAAAAATATGATGTAATTCAGTTGAATGTCGACGGTTTCAACAAATGCGTAATATAACATTGGAGTTCCAAGTTCAAAGCCGATTTGCAGCAATGGAAGATGGTATAGCTATATTCCAAAGGACAAGATTTGTTTAGATTTTAAACATTTTCAACTTTAGGCAGCCATATTATAACCTAATAATCCAATCTTATAAGAGTTGCATCAGGAATATGTGTACATACATATATATTTTATAGACATTTCATTCTATCTAATGTCCAACCCAAATCGAATACACCCCGACTGTTGATAAGGAAGTAAACAAAAGCGAGCCCCTTTGAGTAACGTTTCCGGGCAGTAAAATCGATAGATACCGGGCTGTAAGCATTATGCAATTATCTCATTAATATTGTAGGGGCTGTGCTGAATGGGTCACTTGAAATACTGAATAAGGGAAGGGCAGCGTGCTGCGGGTGCTGCCAGACGTTTGTTATATTCAGGCGTTGCCACTGTTGCTTGCGTTAGCTGCTCAGAGGGAGAGAGAGAGAAAGGGAGAGAGATAGTCGAGCGAGTGTTTGGTTGGGGGCGTTTGGAGCAATGTCGTTCAAAGCATGTCGTATAATCAATCATTCATTTATTGTTGCCAACTACTTTAAACCATTGACACGTGGCCCCGACAACGACATCGATGATGATGATGATGATGATGATGATGATGATGATGATGATGATGATGATGATGAGGTCGTGTCGCTCCGTAAGTCCTCAAGTGGGACAGTCAGTTCGTCAGTCATTTGGACAAGTGCTATTTGGCATTGCCAAGCCATGTGCGTCCGCCTCGCAGTCCGCAGGACAACAGTTCCCGACTATCTGGCCAATCCATGCCAAGGGCGGCGTTGCCGCACTTCACAATGCGTTTCAACTCTTGCACTAATACTCAACAATGAAAACAGAGTTGCAAAACTACTCATATATATATATATAGCACCCTTTTTCAATTTGATCCGTTGGTGCCAAACCTCAGTGGGCTAATTACTTATTACAAGCAGCTTATTTCCGTTTTGTTTTCTGTATTGCAGTAACAGTTATTAATTTGCAGTAACTTTTTGTTTTACTTCATCCCATGTACAAGTGCTTTCTTGGACTGATAAGATTTACGCTGTGTTGTCACAGCTCAGTTAAGTGAAAAATCCTGAGAGTTTTTTTTTTTTTTTTAAATTCAACGCGTTGCTGAATAGAACTCCCAAGTCTAACGAGTATCTTGTCATGTTGCCACACTTCGACTGGGCGAACAAAAAAAATATTAGTGTTGTGAGTTCTCGGTATGCCGCTATGCTGATGCATTTTATGCTGAGCCTTTACTGTTTACTAAACAACCAGTGTTGTCTATATTCTGCGAAATTTTGTTGACGTGTGCGTTACACGCACTGTTGCCTCATTTCATATGGTGACAACCGGCCAGTGTTGTCTGATTTTGGTGACCTTCTGTAACACACTGTTACTCACGTCCGAGTATCTCATTTCAACTTGGCTTGACAATATAAAACTGCAGACCCTGACGTGCCACTTGATTGATGTCGACTTGTCAGTGCCATGCCATGCCATGCCATGTGTCCGAGTGTGGGCCAACCTGCTCAGATCCCGAGCTGTGACAATGGCCCAATTTGAGAGAAAGGTGGTCATTTTCATTGTTACTGTTGACAAACAGTGGTCAGGATTATTGATCGCTGTCCGATGATTGTACCCGGAATTAATATTCCCAAACATGCCGCATTCTCCTCTTCTGTTTTGGGTTAACCCTGATTATGCATTTCCATTGCCAGTTGTTGTTGTTGTTGTTAATGCAATTTGTGTTTCTGGTCCACAGCACCTGGCATCATCGGACATGGCATTGGACTGGCTGCACCGGCCTACGCAGCTCCGGCCTACGCAGCTCCGGCCTACGCAGCTCCGGCCTACGCAGCACCGGCCTATGCCACGCATTTGGCTGCCGGCCCCGTGCTCAAGTAAGTAATGCCGCCCGCCTATATAAATAGAGATGGATCGGCGAGTGCACATCATATGTATATCTCACCAACTGCCCCCCTCTCTCTCCTTCTCGTTCTCTTTACGCAGGGCTGCCGTTGCCGCACCCGCTCTGGTGCACACATCCGTCTCCGGCCATGGCATTCAGTATGGCTACTAGAACTTGGGATGACCCACAGTATGCTGCCCAACAACCACCACCCCCGCCACCGTCCACCAAGCCATCCGCCATCCGCCATCCCCAACATGGAGTAAGCGGCTAAAAATAATATTCATGCCCGGCTTAATTGTAAATAGTGCTTCGCTTGGCCGTTTAATTGAAACTCGAAATTCAAAATGCACAAAATGGCTAATTCGAAATTGCAACATTTGCCAATTTTCAGTGCGCCAATATGATATATGTATATATACATATATGTATATTTGTTTTTTTTTGGCTTAATTTTTTTGTAATATTATTGTATATGCCATAGCAAAGCTCCATGTTAAGAACGGAAAATCTCCCTGTTACATGAATATTAATTGTGTAATTTGCCTCTGTATTTTGTGCGTGTGTCCTCTTTTTTTTGGTTTTTTTTTTATCGCGGTTGAACTTACTTTTTATTTAAAAGTTACTTTGTACAGAAAATGCATGTGAAATGTTGGAAAAAATAAAAACGTTTAATATATATCGACTTGATATACACTCTATGCAGCGTTGCGCTTTATTTGTGTTTCTTGTTGTTGTTGTTTTTGTTGTTTTTTAGGTAACAGAGCGATAGACTCCCTCCCCAGGGGCCAGCACACTCCCAATACTGCAGTTACAAGATGATATATGAGCTCCAAAAACTATGCTACGATTTATTTTCCACGCTCGAGTTGAGCATTTGCCATACGTACTGCATATTTTATGGCGCAGTGCGTGGAATTTATCATGCTCCGCACATGTGAATATATATGTATATATATATTTATGTGTGGACATACATAGCTATTGCATAGTTCGGTCTATGAATAGATCTATGGCTGACTCGCAGTGTGCCAAATGCCAAGTGAAAGCCAAGCGAAAGTATTAAAGTTCAAATGACCAAAATCCCTTTTTTTTAGGTCGTTCGAGTATCACGCATACGCCGCATGCGCCGCGCATTGTCAAATATAGCACATCGAAGCTTATTTTTGGATATATGTTTAAAAAAAGCGCAGAGCATCAAAATGTCAATGCATATGTTATGCCCAATAAAGCTGACTGTCTCTTTTTTTTTTCAAAACATATTTAAGTTAACTCTGTGAAAGCTCTTACTTTGCGAATATACTTCAGAAGCAGTTCGAAAATGGATTACGAATGAAACTTTTTTAAGAATCTGAACTAAGTTCACAAACTGCTTCCAAACGGCTTGAAAATGTTTCGAAAACTGATTTAGGCTCAGATTTGTCTGTTCTACAAGTTAGGTTTCTCGAAAAGAACTTGTTTAAAATTATAGCAGGAACATAAAATGTTTATATTTATATTTATATCAATTAAGAGGTACTCGCTTGAAAAATGCGCTTGAATATATTTTACACTGTCTTTTAATGCATCTAATTATTTAACTGAATTGTAAATTCAAGACTTGATCGAGTGAGACTTTTATGGATATACATTTCCAAATTTTGTTTCTATGGTTAAATGCAATATTGGTTGTATGTATGTATACTATATATGTATATGCAGTTGTCAGTCAGCAATACCTCAAAGCCAAAGCGACAGCCTGTAAATGCAATTTCATGAATCCTGTGTATAGTGTGCATATGTGTGTGTGTGTGTTTGTGAGTATTATAATTAACTGAGTTTCACGAGAATGTTGAATATTTTTTATCGCTAAAAAAAAAATCTGGTTGGAAATGTGGCCCAGTACACAGTTGCGTGAAAGACAACACAATACTCTATCACACACACACGGACACCCGCTGACATAGAAAACAAGAGGGGATGCCATACAAATATTGATTCAATATTCTAGCCACAACAGCGTAGCACAGCGAGAATCTCAGCCAAGCAGCTGGATATCAATTAAGATGCAAAGTTATGCCAGACGTTGGCCAACAAAGTAAGAGCCACGCCCCCGCTGCAGCCGCTGCCCCCACTGCCTGCGGCTAGCTGTGTGCGCGTGCCTTGACACGTGGCCTATTTGATTTGTCCAAGACGGTAAAGCCAACTGGCAAGCACCACAGCAACAGTTGTCCACCAAAAAAAAAAATATGAAGAGAAAAGAGAAGAGAGAAGAGACGAGAAAAAAGCAAAGAAAAACTGTTGGCATATTCATTTAGAGCAAGCTGAATGCAAATACAAACACAAGCCGAGTCCTTCCCTCCAGAATACACAGCACACCTGGGCCCAAGGCCGGGCCGGGCCGGGCCGGGCCGGGCCAGGCAGAGCGCACAACAGTCGCGCGCCAATGTAAATAAGACAACAAACAGCTAAAGCCATGGAAAGTAAAAGCGCAAAGGAAACTCAAAGCCAAAACACGACAATTTCATTAGCAAATGCATCTGCTAGAGCGAATTCTTGCTCTTCGGCTTAAGCTCGAGATGTATTGAGGCAAGGCCAACTCAGTCAGAGCCAAGGAGGCACTCGACAAAACCAAGCGACCTCCACAAGACGCCAAAGCAATGCAGAGGGCCAACTCAACTAGAGGTCGGTACTTAACTATATGAATTGGCAATGCATACGAATCGTATGCGTATTATTAGAACTGAATGTGTGGCAGTTAAAATAGTTAAAGTAAATCTGTGAAAATGCTAGACTTTGGCTTGGACACCCAGTTCGAACTATGAACCTTACCTTAAGCAAAAGCAACTCCTACAATATTCAAATGAACTGAAACCGAAAATGGTTTGGCTCAGAAATTAAGTTAAGCTGTTGTTTAAAATCCAGCCCCAAGAGTTGATAGCTGGGGTTCCCAATCATTGAACTTATCTTGGGTAGATGCCAATTTGGGTAGAGATCGAATGTAGCCCGCAGTTTTAATGTGAAAATATTTACGGCTAGCAATATTTTCAGCAGAAAGGGCAATTCTTCATTAAAAGTGGGGTTGCTTATTTAAAATAAAATACAAATATATATGACGAGCTAAAGCCTAGCACAAAGGCAGATAATTCGGTTGAACCGTGAAGCGCACCGGCGACAGCTTTGTCTGAGTTTGCAGACCTTAGCTTAAACATAATTTAAACACAAAAACATGGCTAAGATATTATTGAGCTCTCTGTTGTTTGGCTTTTGGATTATCAAAGTGCAAATATTTAATATAAATTAACAAACAAATAAACAATTTTCCTAGCTCTTACTTTCTTAATATATTTCTTTTTGTAAAATTAACTTTATACAAGAATATTGTTGCCAGATTTAAATGCCAATTGATTAAAAGGCCAAACCATGAACAATGACCCAAATCTCATGAAACTCGGATATATTTGACTGAAATATGGCGGTGGGAAATTTCTACCTATGTCTATATAGGATAATGAGTTTTAAACCGATCGGACGGTTAACAAAAAACATTCACACAACCGTTTTCCGTAAATTTTTCCTGTTGCGGGCGAAATTTCCCAAATCGCTGAAGCACGTGTTCATTAAGTTCTTCTGTACAGCTTTGGAAATAAGTTTGAAGCAAATCGGACAAAACCTAAAACTTCACCAAAAAAGTCTTAGAATTTTAATTTCCACCGAGGATGATTTGATTTGGTGAAAAATGTGAAACACGTCTCAAATGATATTTCATATAGATCCTTGGCAATGAACTTGAGCGCGAAACGTCCGCCACCAAATCTTTGACCTCCATTTCCACCAAGGAAGAATGCATTTCTTCGAAAAGTGTGTAGCCCCCCTCAAATGAATTTGAACTAAGATCTTTGAAATTGAGTTTGAGACCGATCGGATGATAAACAAAAAAGATGCATACAAACGTTTTTCGCGATTTATCCAGACATGCGGGTGGACCCCGTCCAAACGTTCAACTTTATCACATAAGGTAACTACTGTGAAAATTTCAGCCTCCTAGCTCCAACGGAATGGGCTGTGCTATGATCACCAATCAGTCAGTCAGTCAGTCAATCAGTCAGTCAGTCAGGGCAAACACATTTATGTATAGAGATAGATAGGGAATTAAATAGCGTCGTGGTCTCTGAGATGACAAATTTTATTGCAAAGAGTAATTAACTAAATGTCATTCGCCAGATAAAAATGTTTTACTAGTATAAAAGTCAACTTCGTTGCGCGGAATTCTTTGCCCACACGCACGTGCAAATAATACAAACGGTCTGGAGATTTGGATGCTCGAATTCGGGCAGGGGGATATAGTTGTCCATGCCAGGACATGTTGGAATAGAAAATTTCAATTTTGTGCATTTAGCAAACAACAAACGCAATTCAACAGAAATGTGCAGCGCCACGCAGCGCGGACCAAAAGATGGTCAACACAGATGCTCACAAACACACACACAGACACACACACACAGACACACACACACACACACACTGACAGATGGACAGACAGAAACATATTCCTTTACACAATGACCGCATGCTGTCTGGAGTGTGTGCGTGTGTGTGTGTGGTGTTCGTGTTTGCAGGGCCGCTTCCTGTTCATTTCCCTAGTTGACAGGACACAACATAGCCAAAGTGTCTAGCAATAACAAGAAATATAGGACCACGGGCGAGTGCCTAGGCCCACCACCTCGCTAGAAATCCGACTGAGCCGCACAGCTTGATTACCAAAGCGGGTTGGGCAAGCGGGGAGTGCAGATGGCGGGTGGACTGTGCTGCACCGTAGAGTTTCGAGTCCTTGGGGCAGCAGTTGGGGTCGTATTTAAATTTTGTCCACTGTGTCGTATGGGTGATGCCAGCCCAAACATGCCAAAGGTTTCGCACTGCAGCTTTGTTCAGGCCACCGACATTTGCCCATGTGGCAACTGGAGGCAGCTAATTTGAACTAATTATGCTCTGAACCCATACAGTTTGGGCAGCAAAGGATGTGTGGTTGTTGTGCACATGTTTGTAATAGTTGGAAGAAGGTAGCTGCGGCTCCATGTTCCCCAAGCCCATGTCTGTTTGTCTGTCCCAGACTTTAAGCGCAAGAGACGTTACATTTGCAACTTAGTTCCTCCCATAGCACGCACACATCGATTTTCAATCTTAATCTATCGACAATATTACCCGTTTTAAAGATTTCGATATCTGTCGATAGTTCTGTTTGTTTATCGGAGCTTTTAAGAGCATGAGACAGGCTCTTGTCTAGTATACACGCATCCAATTAATTAAGTTTTTTTTTTTATATATCTCACATCATTATTTACATTATTTAAACAATTTATGTTTATGAAGGCACACACTTGGACTTTGGTATGCACACGCATTTGAATACCATATAAAAGTACCGTAAAGTTCATAGAGATCAGACAATAAACACCGGAGTTCTTTGAGGTTGCAAATCCGATGCATGGAGTTGGGCAAAGGGAAGAAGAAGCATACCCAGTTGTGTGTGTGCTCATAAAACGAAGCTAGAATGTTTGTAAATGCAGCTCGTTACGGGCTGCAGGGTATCTGTTAGTCGGTCACTGCCAACCAGCGCACTCCTACCTGTTGTATACTCTAAGTGCGCTTACGACGTCAATCAGCTTCATAAAAAGTATCGCTGTCAAAGCGAAACAGTAGTATATCAAAAACGAATGGCCGAACACACTAAAGAGGGACCGCGTGCCCCACGAAAGGGGGGAGGCGCCACAAATGCGGACTGGCAATTTAGCAGGGGCTGGGGCCGGGGCTGGGGCTGGGGCTGGGGCTGGGGCTGAGACCGGGGCTGGGGCTGGATGGCATCTAGCTGAACGATTCTTTTTTCAGGGTCAAGTGTGCCGAGCACTTTCACCTGGTGGTTAATTATTACCGCCGGAAGCAAAGTGTGGACAACTTAACGGCGAAACTTTGAGAAACCAAAAGCAAAGGCTGACCCGGTCATTTGTGCAACTGCACCATGAGGTTGCATTCCAGAGACGGAAATTTGAGTCACAAACTTTCATTAAAACAAAAATTCATGGAATTCTTTATCACGTTTGTGCCACAAAGTGAATAGTTCAGGAAATATTTAAGGCTAACCGATAGTATTAACGGGGACTTTTAGTTCAAATTATAGAAAACTCATTCAAGATTATGGCTCAAGCTAGAAATTGTTCGAACTGAGATTATCCGACTTTAAGATGCGCTACAAGCAACTGCCATCTAAAAATGTATACAGAAATAAAGACGCAGACTGAAGCACTCAAGTTACCTATCCACATTATGGTGCATGCAGCCTTGGATAGCTTCGTTGTTAATTGTTTGATGTTTGTAACATTTGAAGGGAATAAATATGTCATTGAAATGTGTGTGTATACCAAGGCCCAAGGCAGTGCATACAAACATGAGATTTTTCATATTAAATTGAGAATGGGGTAGGTTCCGAATAATAAAATGTACTTTAACGATGTATAGTAATACGAGAATTCACACTCATATAGCTATTTATCCAAATTATGACAATAAGGAAAAATATATCGAAAAAAAGCGAGAATCAACATATATCTATCTATACATTTAAAACCTCTAGCTAATATATTTTTTGCGAGATTCGTATCAATAATATATGAGCTTTATGGGGTCGGAGAGCCTGTACTTTACATTTGCACAAAACATTTTAGCCACTCCCAATGGGTTGAGGTGAGTAAAAGGCATTGAAAGGAATTAAATAAAGCTTATGTCGCTCACAGTTACACATACACATACACACACACACACACACACACACACACACACAGTCACAGTCACACTGCTTAAATGAATTCCAAGGATTATGGCAAACACATTAATTCTGATTTTTGAATTTTAATTTTAGACAATGTATGACTCATAGCTACGCTGCTGCAAAATGTTCACATAGTTACAAAAAAAAAAAAGGATATTACTAATAATGACTATTACGAGATTAGAATAAATTAAAACTAAGTGCGAGCAAAAAAAAAAAGAGCGACAAAAAAAAAACAGAGGTCGATTATCAGTTAGTTGGTCAGTTGAGTTTCTGGGTCCACCGGTCGGTCCACTTGTCCACTGGGTGGCGAGCTGGCAGCGGGATGCAGCAGAGCCTGGCATATTGTGGAATTGATTCGGGGAGCGTGTGCCTTAGAAGTTGTAGTTGAGATTGCCGCTGGAGAATCTCACATGGGATACGGCTGACGAAGGTTGATACGATGGAGAACCCAAAACGGAGGTCTCGGGCACTGCCATGCCGTAGTTGGTTGTGGTGCTGGGTGCCAGTTGGCCGGTGGCGAACTGTTGCGCAACATTCTGCTGCTGATCGCGCAGCACATCTTGCTGCTGCTGCTGCAGGAATCCCATGTGCTGCTGGGTCGAGTAGAAATTGCCCAGTCCGCCGGATGATGTTGTGTGCAACTGCGGCAGCTGTGTCTGCTGCTGGCGTTGTTGCTGCGGCTGCAATCCGTTGCTGTTCCCAAAAGCTGACGTGGATTGGCGTGCAAAGTATCGATTCCCTGCAACATTGGAACTGCCGACTGTTGACGACTGTTGCGGCTGTTGCGGCTGCTGCTGCTGCTGTTCATGCTGCAGTTGGTGCTGCTGCTGGCCGGAGACATCGGGATAGTAGGTGTAGAGCTTTTGCAGCAACTGCTGTTGCTGCTGCTCAAACTCCAATCGCTGACGCTGGTAATCAAGGAAGGCGGCTTGCATCTGGTCCGCATAGCTGGGTAGATTAGCTGATTGCAGCTGTTGCTGCTGTTGGTGCTGCTGTTGCTGCAGTTGTTGCTGCTGCTGTTGCTGTGCCAGATATTGTTGCTGCTGCTGCTGCTGCTGCAATTGTTGTTGCTGTTGGCTGCCGACAGCTGTCGCTGGCTTTGACTTGCTGTGAGCTGCAATGGCTTGCTGCGGATACGCAGCTGAATATTGTATTCCCGCGGGCGTAAGTCCGGCGAATTGAGTTGGATTTTGCTGAGAATTAAACAAAATGCAGAACAAAAAAATAATTAATAAAAAACCCAACGGAGAAACTATTCATATATCATGCTTGTCCCCAGTTTACCAGTCGACCACCATTTCTGCTAGTTTTGACAGCTCTCATTTTCTGCCAGCTTCTGCGGAATTTAGTTTCAAACAAAATTACAATTTAGCAAACGTTGTCGAAATCTTGCAGTTTTACGGCAAGCTAAAAATTCAAACGAGAAATAAATTCTGAAATTCGAAATCCAATCTGATTAAGCGAGCGAGCGAGACTGACACTGCCCCCAGTCCCGAGCTGCCAGCCCGGCGCTGACAGTCCGGAAGCATTGTTCGCAGCCTGCTTTGCTGCTGTCCACAAAAAAAGAAAACACTATATATGTATATAAAGAGAACAAATAAAATAAACAAAGGTGCCAATGGCAAATATTGATCATACGCCACGTTGCGCAGATGCGCTGCACGCAAACGAATCCAGTGCAAAAATGCGACATAAAAAGGGGTGGCAACGGCGCGAGGCGAACACAGTTGAAAAATGTGCTTCCAATTGCATTTGATGATGATGCTGCTGCTGCTGCTGCTGGGACTGCTCACGGGCAGCGCCTGGTCACGTGCCAGTCCGCAAAATCCACTCGACAAATTGGCAGCGGGCGCGCTCAGCGTGGGCACTGGCATTATGGGCAGCCTGCAGGAGGGCGCGATGGCAACGCATCAGATGAACTTTGACGGCGGGCTGGTCGCCGTGCGCTCCAAGACGGCGATGGGCTATGGCGATGCGATGCGACCGGACAGCGGCGAAGATTCCGACTCATCCGAATCGGATGAAAGGCGCCGTCGGCGGCGGCGGCGGCGCAACACCAACAGCACAAGCAGCGACGGCGGCAGCTACCGCAACAGCAGCCGCAGCTTCAGCTTGCATCAGGCGCTGCACCGCCTCAAGCGCTCGCCTTGCGGCATGAATATGGGCGCCACCACGGAGTCGGCCGACGATGTCGAGGCGCGCAAGAGTCGCGCACGCAAGCGCGCCGCCAACAACAATGCATCCAGGACGCGCATCAGGAAGACGAGCACCAAAAAGAAGCTGCTCGAAAGCCGCCGGCGACGACGTCGCCAGGCCGCGCAGCAGCAGCAGCAGCAGCTGGGCGCCGGCCTGGGCGAACAGGTCAAGGGCCTGTTTCTCTCATTTATGGACAACATGGCCGACATGGTGCAGCAGGTGCGCCAGCAAGTAAAAGGTGCAGCTGCTCAAGCCACTGGCGGCATGCAAACAATTTAAATATCAATTAATTAGCTTCCTTTTTTTTTTCTCGAATTCTAAAAATATACCAAAAATAAACTGAATTGGCCAAAATGTCACCAAAAAGTTTCTTATAAATTACTAATTAAGACAAGGAAATACTAACAGAAAAATACTGTGTGAATCAATGGGCTATGAAATTTTGAAAAATGTTAGTAAATAACTTTTTGTAGGCTCTTATAAAATACTAAAGAAAAATACAAAAAAAAAAAAGATAGTACAATAAACCGCATTTAATTGCAGGTCTAACAAGCTGCTCTTAATGCACCCAACCGAAAGCCAGACAAAATGTTTGCTATTCCAGATTTATCTGATCGCTGCGAGCTTCAAATGCCGACAAACCAAAATGCCAAACCAAAATTAAAAAAAAAATAGATACATAGAAGCTAGTTAAGCACTGACATTTCCGGCTAAAAGCGCACGTGCCGCACTTCAATTGCATGCTGGACACGCCACCAATCAATGTTGGCCCAGACAAAAGCGTTAGGGCCTCGTTGGCGGCAGGTCAGTTAGCGCAATGAGTTCCACTTGGCGTTCTGTGTTTGGATGCCTCTTGGGGCTGGCGATGCTTATGTGGCTGGCCCGCTGCCAGGAGGACCTGGAGCTGGACTATTCGAATGAGTATGACGATGTGCGACCGCAGCTAAGCTACCCGGACGAGCCGAGACTGGAGACACGCCTGGCCGCAGCGGCCCAGGAGCTGGGCCAGAGCATACGGAATGCCTGGCAGTCCATGGCCGACTCGTTCCGCAGCTACTTCGAGAAGCTGCGGCATCTCTTTGCCGATGGTGTCGAAGACAATGCAGAGACCTTGCTCGTGAGCAACTGATCAGAGCTGCATTCACAGTGAATTGCAAAGCTAAATAAAAAATATGAAAACAAAATAAAAATATGGGACTTCTATTAAGTTTAGGCAGCACTTGAGAATCTTAACCAACAGATGGGGCAGAAATATAAACTTCACGAAAGGAATATAGGAATACATTATTAAATAGTTTAGCTTGTTTAGACGCGCCTCCTCTTGTACACACTTTATCTTCCTTTTGCCCCACTTAATGGGAAATTGATTTTTGAAAAGTTCGGTGCTTATTGTCCGATCTAAAATATAACCAGCTGATGACGAGGATTCAGAATGAAAGTTCGTAAGAACAATAGAAGATGCATATGTAATACAGAATATAGTATTCCAACAAATAAGAATACAAAAATATACTTTCATACCCTGCTTAACGAAAAAAGGAGTATATTGGTTGGGGGCACATTATCGCTAGCTATGTATATAGAGCTGGTCACAGTATTTCAAAATTAATTAATAAATGAATTAGGAGACATTCATCTATAGAGAAGTCAAATGAAAGCTAGATGTTAAATGAGCCACAATTAATGTGAATAGATTGCAGCGGAGAACTAAGCGAGTTTACTGTAATATCTATCCAATTGTTATAAATACTTTTGGATAAGCGCTAATCAGCCGATCATACAGCTTCCGGAATTCGGAATTGTGAAGCACTGGAGTTCATCAAGATTGCAGCTAACCCATTACCGGCACATGCCCGCGGTTATGTAAATTGAGCGTACACACAAGCACACACACTCACACACACACACACAGGCACAGCTGAGGCAAGATGTTGCCTGAGATTGGGGCACCGGATGTGTGCAACACGACAGCAGCTGTTGGCGGTAATTATAAAAGTTTTGTGCTGCTCCCGTTTGCCCGTTTGCCCGTTGCCCGTTTGCCGGCTGCCAATAAGTCAAATGGCCAGGCCACCCGATACCCCTGTTAAATAAGCCGCGTCGAGAGCAGGGCCAATCAGTTCCAAGTTCCAACCAGAGCAGAGCCATGGGAATGTCTTTAGTGTTTGTGGCCCTGCTGCTCCTCAGCAGCTGCACAAACGCCAGGCCGCAGGTAAGCTCACCTGCTCAAGCAGCAGACGCACACCCAATACCCTACTAATTGTGTCTGTGTGTGTCTGTGTGTGTGTGTGTGTGTGGTTACAGGACTTGGAAACAAGCATGTTGCTGGCTGCCGCCCAGATGAAACAGCTGGTGGAGAGCGGCGCCGCGGCACGCAACGAACAGAGCGTCGAGATACTGGGCCAGAAGATGGGCGGCGGCATGAATTTCGGTTTTGGCGATGCGATGCGACCAGGTGCCGGTCGTCGCCGCAGAAGTGCTCGACTGCAGCCGGAGCTGGCCCTTGGACCGACCCGACACAAGGTTGACAAAATATATGCTTAAACAAAACTTACCACCTGTTGTTGTTGTTGTTGTTGTTGATGTTGCTGTTGTAGTTGTTGCTGCAAGTCAGCCTGCGGCTGCTCCAGAGCCTGGTCCTGCTGCTGCTGCTGCTTGGCAGCACCATAGTAGCGCGTGAAGGTCTGCTGTAAAGAGGGCGTCTTCAGCGTAAATGAATTCGTGTTGGCATCGGTGTGAAAGGATAATTGTGCATGGCACGCATACTGCAGCCCACATAAGAGCAGCAGGGAGAAGGTCAACAGACCGTCGGGATACCAGATGCCAAACATGTCTCGCTTCTATGATTTATGAGGCCAGTGGCAAATGCTAATTGTAATTGATTCAGATTCCACGCTGTGATGCAGTTTCTCCCTTCCTGTGTACGGATGGCTGTTGCCCGTCTGTCTGATGCCCTCTGATGGTTGGCTTAATTAATGGCAACGGTCACAACAACAATGTCACGTTATCGGCAACGACAACAAACCGGCTGCACTTTGTCCAAATAGCGACTGTGCGTTGCTCGCCCGCCGTTCAAACGTTTTATACTTGGTCTTTGGCTTTGGCTTTGGCTCCGGGCTTTGGGGCCGTGTACTTGGCATGCAGCAAAGGCAGCGAAGACAGCGGCAACAGCTGATGGCAAATGGAAAATTTATTTATCGGCCCTGTCTTCGGCAAGTGCTGCAATTCGAGCAGCATTACGAGTCAATGTGCGTGAGCTGTTCGCACAGTCGAGCCACCAAACCCAGCCCCCACACCCGCTCTTAAGCCGGGCCATGTGGGCCATTCGAAGGCGGCCATGAAGTGGGCACAAATTACATATGATGTGGTGATAACTAAGGATCGGCTTAGGAGCTCAATATAGGGGTAACAGAGAGAGGGAGAGAGAGAGCTATATATAGCGGGATAGAGCAAGATTCCGCGAAAGTGTTCCGGCCGAGATACAAAGCCCATTTGAACTTTTCAGGCATAGGTTATGGTCATAAACTAGCATTGGAATCCATTAAATATGTTCTTCGGATAAGACAATACTATATCTACACATTTAGATCTACATTTAGCCTGGCATTTGCAACCGAGTTTTTCGATGGATTGATAACCTATAATCAGTTAAGATATACGGCTAAGAGTGGTTGAGCAAGGAAGATACGAAAGGCATTTTAATATATAGATACATAGTTACGTAGTTTAATATATAGTTAATATATAGTTATATATAACAGCCTTGGCTGGGAGCCCATAAAGCTTTTGCGGTGTTTCGTTTCCCGTTCGACTCGTGAACCCAGTTTGAGGTTTGTACCGCAGCTCCTCAAATCTCTGGCCCTTTTCAATTGAACCACAAATCATAAATATACTTAAGTTCAAGTTTTGTATTTATTAAAATTAATATATTCTTTATATTTTGAGAACTTGCAAATAAGGCAAAAATATTGTCAAATTAGAAAGAGAAAATAAACCAAATCATTTTTGAAAAGTATATGAAAATATTTGAATTCCTGGCTCAAATCAAACAAACTTCCGTCTCGTACGCTACGACAGACAATAGACAAACATAAATACATTGTAATTCAACAATTAAATATTAAAATATTTATTATTATTTCACTTTCTTTAAGAGCTTTGAATTTAAATGCGGCACAGCGACAAGAAATATGTGCTGCATAGGCCTCTCAATAAGCCCTGTTGTGGGGGCACATTCAAGTACAAATTGATTATGGTCGTGTTGCTTACATAACATGCACGCTGCCCCAAAAAGAAACCGAAAAAAGAAAAGAAAAAAGACACAGAAGCAACAGCAAAAGTGAGCGAAAAATATAAACAACACAAATGATGTGACCACAGGGCCAACTAAATATAAAGACCAGACATAAAATGCTGTTTATGGGAACGTGCGTGGCATACGCAAAATCGAGTCGAGTGTCTGCAACGGGATTTCGATATCAATAAATGGCCAACAACTGTTAAGAGAGCGGGGTTAAGGCTAACAGACAAGATGCTGCCCATAATTGCATTTGCAATTGCATTGCAATTGCCAATTGGCTCAAATCGTTGCCAACTTTCAAATTGTGTTGTGTTCCGTTGCGTTGGCCAAAACGATTATGAAAGACAACTATTATGAGTGCACACACACACACACACACACGCACACATGGGCAACCACCACCTACATAAGTGTTAAGTGGGCAGCCGTAGCGGACAGTGGTCGCCCGTCCACATGGCGTATACGTGATCGACATACATTTATTGGGGGGTCGCGCGCGCGTTTCATTTCATTTTGAAGACGCAATCGCAATTGAAAGCGCATTTCATATGATTGAAAGTTGTTTATGTATGCCATTTGCTCCAACTGCACGTATACGCCCCCCGGCCGTCCTCATTGGCTCGTGATAAACGGGAATGTATCAATATCGATATATATAAATATGTATGGAGTATATACATAAGCACTGGCCCACGCACATTATGACAATGAGCCGACAATGAAGACACAAGCGCCAGTAAACAGTCAGCCGTCAGCAGTCAGCAGTCAGCAGCAGCAGTAAACGGCCAGCAGTAGCCAATTAGCTGTAATACCACAAGCAGTCCATATAACATATATATACATATATCCATATTACGAGTATTGCGATATTTGTATCAAGCTATTAAGCTGCCCGGAATGGTGACAGCCTGAAGGCTAAAGCTTTTAAAATTGTTGACCAACAGATTAAGAGCTGAATAATCGCAATGCTTGCAGAGCATTAAGACAGAATCGCCGATTTTTATGTAAATATAAAACAGAGCGACATCAATAAAATATCTGTCAACAAGTGCGCATGCTGTTGTCGACTGTGCTCGACTGCAATATACCCTGTACAACACGGTCTATATAATAGATTGATAGAATTCCGCATATCACACCAAATTTAGATATCAAAATGAGGTCTTTTTCCATTTCGGGAGCAGGTATTTAAAAAGTCAAATATTCTTAAGATTTCTATATACTTCAAAGGGCTTTATAGCCAATTTGGAGCATTAAACTCTTGAATCTTGGATCCAAGTGACAAAATCGATAAATTGAAAATTGGACGTGAAACAAAAAAAAACCTGTCAAGCTATTTTTTCGTCTGAAGTCCCTACCGTCCAATCAAAAACCCGTTCCGCATCTTCATTGGATACAGGGTATAAAAAAATCTGTTCGGAGTACTTCGTGTATTTAATGTGGTAAAGAAATTAATTAAAACATTAAAGAAAATTCGAATTATTTCACAATTTCCTAAGCAACACCCAGGCCCAAAAGTACAAAGAACTTTGATACCAAACGTTGCAATTATCTAACCATATTGGGTAGATGCCAATTTTGGGTAGAGCACAAAATTTTAGCCCGCATCTTGCATATGAAAATATCTACGACTTGCAATATTTTCAGTACAACGGCCAATTGGGTATTGAAAAATAAAAAGTTTTTATAGAAATTGGGAAAATATATGAATCTGTGTTTCACGAAATGCAGGATGCTGGTTCAAACCGTGAAGCCTTGCAGCGATGGTTGTTGATGATATTTGCCATAATAATTTATAGGAACAAGGAAAAAATTTTTTTTTTCGCTATTCGATTTTGGAAATTTTTCTGCTGTCGAACGAGCGATAAGAAATT